CTTGTATAAATAACTACTCAGGTATGAATATATGTAAACTGTAAGTATAAAAAGGGGGAATAAAATGCCCATAGAATTCATTACGCTAGCGAATAAGTTGAAAGTCAAAGTTAGTAACATAAATTCATTAATGATTTTTACATTTAATCTAACTTTTCATTCAATTTAGTTGGTTAGATGCTAGTTATGAAGATATCTACAAAATAGAAGAGCCAATGAACTGTTGATAAGTTTTATGCAAAATGATAAGAGAACTGATACAAAAGTGTGAAATGGAAGAAACATTCACAATGCATTAACGACACATTCATTGTGTACACCAAAGTCTAGTCATGCATCAAATTCATTTCGACTATACATTGATCCACACAGAAATAATCATGTTGTTATTTAGTGGTTGGAGGCGATCAGAAGAAAACTTTAGACCTAGGTTTTGTGGTAGTTGGCACTCAGCAGTCAGCAAGGCGTATCTGCAGTCTTGAAGGAACTCATGTCTCTTCTGAGATTCAAAATCGTGTCACCCAGTTCTGCAGTCAGAGACCTCACCGCTGAGCTATCTGGACTCGCGATTGACTCCATGTAGGACTGTATTAAATACATGAGTTCATTCAAGATTGTAAATACGCTTTGCTGACTGATGAGTGCCAACAAGTACGAAACCAAGGATCAAGGCTTCCTGCTTATTGCCTCCAACCATCTAATAACAACAATCCTAAGTGTGTCATGATGGCGAGCCACTTAGCATGGTGGCCACAAACTGAACTTGAATGATAGAATTCAGTCTGCAATAAATAAAATGATTAGACACATGACACTAGCTAGTGTCCAATCAAAAGTAAATAATCATGTTTTATTTTTTAGATGTCAATGTAGAACCTTAAGAGGATGGGAAATCTTTTCATCAGAAGGCTATATGAAATGGAATATACCCGAAATAGAATAGCAACTTTCCAGTTAGTCATAAACAAGGATTTGTAAATAACTTATTTCCTACCGCCAAAAAGAATAAGTTCAAGTGACAAAATGAAAGGAGATCTGATTTGTACTTACAAAATTTCCAAAAAACGGCGAGTGTATAAACAAACCTATCAATGTATGGTGAATTTATGGACAAATCTAAGTATATCCACAAAAACAGTTATATAGAGATAACAGAAAGAAGGACATGTCTTTAATATTTTGAATAAGTACCATAAAGCTTATGTCTCAAAGGAATGTAGTACAATCGTCAATTATCTTAATGACACAAAACGTGAATTAGACATCTATAAATTGGCTGAAGGATTTCATCATAAGCTGACATCAGTTACAGAACAACTGGAACAACTGGAAGTACTGGACGACTGTCTCGCTCTAGTTTGGGACTTTCAACGGTACGCAATCATCGAGGTTCGACTCCAGGACCTTCTGGTAACCAGAAGGTAACTGCAGGTTTTTTAATGGTTCTCTAACTGATGTCAGCTCATGATGAAATCCTCCAACCAATCAAACAAAAACTCCCTACAAAACCAATACTTGAACATCTATCAATCTTTTAAATCATTCTATGAGCAAAACAGTTGGAAATTCTTAAGATTTACTTAAGTTATAGTTATCAAATGTGTTTTAAAAGAAGCAGCTATTGGCTTTTATTTGCACGTTATATGATCATTTCTGAGCTCTTCCTTTTTAAAGATCATGTAGTTTAACCAATCTCTTCGTCCATGAAGAATTTCGGTTATGAACTAAGTAACACAATGCATACACTAAGAGTCATTTGTAAGGTGCCTGACTAATATAGCTTCTGATCCTATAGGCAATATTTTCTTCATTAAGCTTGTAGAAACATATCTCTGATGAATGCCATAAGCACGAAACATAAACCTGAAGCTTTGTGTCCTTTGAAACCGATTACTCAATATTAAATATCAATGAATCGCAATGCGAAGTTATAATATGTCATTTAGATTAATGACTACAATGTACATTTTATTGGCAGTCTAGGCAGTTACATAGTTCACCATTTGGCAGCTAGTCCTTAATTAAACATTTCGCATAATATTACTTTATCAAACCAATAAAATGGGTGAATGTGTGCAACAGTAAGAAAAAAAGAATAGTATGAAAACCGAAAACTGACAAAATATAAAGTTTTCGTGCTCGAGAACATATCCCACTATGGCTAAGTAAAGGTGTAGTTAAAACTATTAACAGCTCGATATTAGACCATCTGGTGCAAACCGGTCACAAAGCCAGCGTAGAAGAATCCTTCTCTATAATATACCGGGTGCCTAACAAATTACCAAAATCGTCGAAGCATCGCATGCTCCAGAAACAGCAGAAGCTATTGCAATTCACCTCAAACAACCAGTGCTCTGTGTTCAAAAGAAACAAGTCCAGCCCCTACTACTGCCCTGGCCCTCAGTAGAAACTATAAACTCATGAATTAGTACTATTATCTTTCCTAATTTTTCTGACATTCAGCTTATTTTATGTTGATGCTATTCAGCTGTAATCTATCAATATTATTGATTTGATGTTATTTAAACATTAGTGTCGTTCATAAGACTAATTCATTCATTCGTTATAATGTATATATAATTGTAGAACCTGATGATGAATTTATCGAAAAGAGTACTCTTTGTTCCGTATCCATTCTTTTGAAAATATAAAGAATCAGGCAAAATTAAGCTTAACGTTCGAATGACTATCGAGTTGTGATTTTTCTTTGATTTTCTCATTCACAAAAGGAAGAACAACTTTGGGATGGGGTGGGGGAGTGGATAACACCAACTTAAAATTTGTTGACCTAATTAGCTATTTTAAAATGTTTGCTAAGAAAAATATCAACACGAACTATTATCAGGTGAAAAACCTCAAAGTGATGAAAGCAAGCAAGCAATACCTGTTTTAGCTTCCCTCAAAACTCTTAAGCAGTGTGTGAGTTATTGTGAACCTGGAATTGTCCGGTATGTGAATGGCACGTAATTATTAGTACATAGCAGTCTGTGATGTTTAACTTTGGCTATATCGAAATTTCTCTGTATTTAAGAAATTTTTAGTGTGGAGGTGAATCTAAACTGTCAAGTCCTCCTTGATTTTCAGTACTTTCGCAGTGGAATTCATTTTGGCACAAAACCGTCGTTAGAATTTACTAGTTTTCTTACCACTTTAGTACGTATTAAGTAATTTACCAAGAGCGGTGTCAAACATGCGTGATGGGGAGAATTTATTTCAATAACAAGTTTGCATTTTCATTCGTAAAATATTAACGTGTGTTACATAGGTGATTAGACAATAAAATTAACAAATTCTATGGAGTGATAAATCACCATGTTTATAACTTCGCGATGAAAAAGGATTTCATACAAAAGAAAAGGTGTTCAGTGAAGAGTTACTCCTTTCGGCGATATCATTCCTAAACTGTATAATCGCATATACATATAGTGAAATTTTCTTAGCAAAAAAAGGAATATTTCCAAAGATGTGTCATTGGAATTGTAAATTTTAAATAGCAAATTATGTAATGTAGAAAGCGTTAATTGGGTAGAAACTAAAATAAAACTGAATTAGTAAGTTGAGTGACGTAATCTTACCGACGGGGTTGAGTAGAGCTCAACCACAATTAATAGTGAACAAAATTCAAGTTAACAAGAGTGGAAATAAGGGGTAGAGATTTAATAGGGAATGGGGGAAGAAAATAATAAAATTAAGAAACAAAAAACAAAAATTACTTATTTGGTGTTAAGATAGATCAGGTTCATTGTAGAGTTCAGGATCTAACATGTGAATCACCACTGCTTTTGTGGCTTGAGGAAGTTTGATTCGTACTCTGTTAACCAGATTCCCATGTATTCTGTAGATAACTTTGAAGTTCCTTTGTGGGTTAGCTTAGCATCCAGATTGTATCAGGTGTTCCGAAAGAGAGCTGAGGGGAGGCAGTTCTTCTGATTTACAAGACCATAGGGGTAAGTGTTCGATGATACGTTTGGATAGCAAACGCTGGGAACGACCGAAATACCTAACTCCATACGAGCAGGTGAATCAGTTGATAAACACTGATGAAACCAACAGTAGTAGCTTATCCTTTACGTTCTTTTTCAAATCACTTGTTTCGTAAAGAAAGTTATTCGAAGTCTAACCGCGAAGGTTTTCTTCAGTGAGCAGAACAGGGGGTTTCTCAGTACTTCTGCTCATGAGTCTCTGTTGAACAGTAGATTCAAGTAGAGATGCTTTTTGGGAGCAAAAAGTGTGAGCGGTTTAAGTGGTTTAGGTTTCATTGATTTCGTGATGAAACGTTCTGGGTAGCCATTTTCGAGAAGGATTCTTTTCAGAGTGTTCAGCTCCTCTTCCATAGTGTTAGGGTTGCAAATCCTGTGGATCCTATCGCTCCGTGAACGGATCAAGTTTGGTTTCGTGTATAGAGGCACCCAACAATGAAAGTTAATGAGTTGTCCGTTCCATGTTAGCTATCTATAAATGGATCTTTTTAGTGTTCCATCTTGTTCACGTCCAGAAAAATATTTTGTGTCGGGCTCCTTCTGTAATGTTAACTGAATCGCAGGATGGCAGCTGTTGAAAAAGTCCAGGATGTCCTTCAAATTCTCCTCGTTATTGAAGATAATGAAAGTATCGTCCACGTATCTATTGTAAAACCCGAAGCTGTCAATCATTTTCTTTAGGTATGTGTTTTCTAGTTTTGACACACAATCTACAAACAATCTGCTAATAAAATTTACTCTCTCTCTCCATATATATATATATATATATATATATATATATATAGGTTGTACAGCTTGAGAATGATATGGCTGAAAAGAGTAATTCTTCACTGAACGCCTTTTCTTTTATTTGACTCAAAAAGGATTTCAATGATCACAATAACTTTTTCTTAAGATTTTTAAGAAAATTTATTACAAAAACTATATTCGTATAATTTTCATTAATCAATTGTTTCAGATTTTTAAGGTAAAGCTATTCTATCATTGTCAACATTAATAAGTGAAACAAAATTTACTTACCCAATAACCCATTTGTGTTCAAGTACCTCTTTTAACTATGAAGAAATTACAAGAAAAAAATATATTTTTTTGATTAGAAGTATGTATGAATACGAAGAAAAATATATACATAGAACAGTTGTACAGTTATAACAGTTACCCATTCACCACAAAATATATCCAAATGTGTGACTGGGGGTTTCAATGAGGCAAAAATGATACTTTTGTTGATTGTCTGTTAGAAGACACACGCCAAACTTCTTTCCAAAGTTGTTTCTCTATGGTGAGATTTCTGGATAATCTTTATGAATTGGTGTGAACTAACAAACAGATAAGAAATACGCTGTCTTAGTTAACGCTTTTTTTTCTCAATCACATCTGTAGGTCTAAGGGTGATTAAAATAACTTCGAGATACATTGGTGCAGAAAAATAACAGAGATACAGTATAGACTGTAGAATTTTCATGAAACTTCGGCTACCAAAAACATTCATCACTAGATTGCATATAATTTCTCTTATTCAGTTTGTTTAAATTTAATATGTTTACTCAGGCGAGTATATAAAATATTTACAACCTGATGATTCACAAGTTTCTACTGAACTTGAGAAAAAGCATAGTCATAGGTGACAACGTATCGCAATACATGAGGTGATTGTTTATGAGTTGTGTCCTTGGTTTTTAAAATGTAATCTTGAACCTTTTTATAACTGCTATTCAACCAAAGGTTGTGCATTTTTTTCGAAGAATACAAAGAAGAGCTATTATAATGGGTTGGTTCGCACCTCAGGTCAGATAGAACTGTCTCAAGATCTACTGACAGTTACTATTCTATTTGAAGATCATGGACGAAGAGAAAACGTTACGCAATAAACTCCGCTGACAATTTCGTACCGTATATAACAACCGTCTCAGAATAAAGCTGTTATTATTGTTATTTTTACGAGTTGATCACGGATTGATATCAGTTAGAGAACCAGTGAGTACTGGACAGCTGTTTCATCCTAGTTCGGAAATCATCGGCAGTACATACCCACTGGGTTTCGGACCCACGGCCTTCGGTTACAAGGCAAGCTCGTTTACCATTCAGTCATTGGGACCCGATTCAATGGACAACCCATGAATTCTAACTTCTACCAATTCGTGATTTAGTGCAACCACCAACCAATGTCATCAGCGTGAAATTCATCCTCACACTTGACTGGATGGACCTTACTGGTCACGACTTCTCACTAGAACTCCAGGAAACTCCATCCTGTAGCAAGTCACTAGTAATCGAATACCTTAGCTGCTTGAAAATTATCTCGAATTATTAAAAGTCAAAGGGTCAAAGCTTATAACCCTACTGAATGACTTGTTTATCTTATTTAAGACAGTATATTTCATCCTTTCAGTGTTCAGATAATATTCAAATTGATCAAAAGCAATGCACCGAAGTCAACTGTAATCGAAATACTAGACTAATGACTGTGTCATTTTTTAAATTTTGTATACATTTGACTTTATATCCATTTACCAATAGTGCTGACTGTTTCATCACTAAAATAGCTTTACTCTACGCCTTACAATGACTGTTGTACTGGACACGATTTCATGAATTTATTACTATAGAATCTGAAAATGAAGTTATTGAAGCGATCGTGAGCTTAATTACCCGAATAATCTGTTTGGATCTCAAAGCCACAAGTTATGTTGAACCCCCAAAAACAACAAGTATCTTTGTTCAACAGGTTGGATTCACTTCGTTCGTAAACGCTTTCAGAACCAAGGTAAGAGAAGCGACAGAGCAGCGTTGCTTTTTTTTAAAGAGTAATACAGTTGAGTAGAGGGAGTAACCGCTGAAATTTTGTTCATCATATCAACTTTTAATAGTGTACACCAGGAATAATGTAACGCCAATATCCCGGTTATTATTTCCTTTAATTCCTAGAGGGACATAGGGCTTCAGCCGCATATCTCCATTGCGTTCGGTTCTCTGCCAACGTTTCACCTGGCTCCAAGTCTGCCCACATGGTTTCATCTCCTCTTCACATGACCTCCTCCAAGTCACCCTTGCACTGACGACCAACTCGCCGCTTCCCTTTCGGGTTCCACTCGAGCAATGGCTTGTCTAGTGATGTCACTTGATGGTTTCCTCAGAGTATGGCCAATCCATCTCCATTTCTTCCTGCCTTTGTTTTACAATCAGTTCTTGGTTGGTTGGTTCGCTCATTGCCAGAGATCTCTGTTGCTGACCTTTTTTGGCTGGCCATCTGATCTTGAGTATTGAGCGAAGACAACTGTTAATGAAGGTTTGTAGTTTGTTTGAGGTGCTCTTTATGACGCGTAGTGCAAGTCTCTGATCCGTATAGTAAGTAGCACTGACTTCACATTGGAGTTGAAAATCCGGATCTTATTTTTGATACTGAGTGCTGTTGACCTCCACACAGACTTGAGAGTAATGAAAGCTTGCCTTGCTTTTCCGATCCTTGCTTTGATGTCCTCGTCAGTTCCGCCTGTAGTTGAAACGATGCTTCCCAGATAGGTAAAGGAGGTAGTTTCTTTCGGTTCCTCCCATTTATGCTGATTGTTGTCTGTTCTTGTTGTTGCTGTTGGTGTTGGCCAGGAATCTTCATCACCTCTGTTTTCTCTATGTTCACCTGAAGTCCTATCTTTGATGCTTCTTCTGCCAACTTGTTACTTTTCGCTTGCATATCTTCCAGTTTGTGGGAAATATCCCAGTTATGCAAAAATATTATTATCACCATTAAAATAAAATAAAGAGAGTGAGGCAGTGAGTGGAACTGCATGAAATAAGTCAAAATGTTTGTGTGAGTTTGAATAAGGGGAACCGGCTATATGAGTATTTTGTTATACTTATACGTGAATGTCATCGGTAAACGACAGTGCATCATGGTATATTAAATCAAACAAATAAATACACTATAAAAGTAGACAACACTGTATTCTTATCGATCCACATTGATAAAAATCTGCTCTTTATTACTCTCTGCAACTAGAATTCAGTGTTAGACCAGTCTGCATAGAATCTAGCATTTCTGAGTACTACTCCAAGATGTTACACTTCATATCACCAAGCCAGCTAAGTAGGTTCTAACAGAGAGTAAAAAGTTATAACAGAAAAATGCAGAGCTTATAGCAATGCATCAAGAAAAAGATGAAGATGGCACAAAGCAGATGAAGAATTTTGACATTGCAGTTGCTATGAGATGCAGAGCTTTGAATGCGTCTGTGAAACAACGATTGATTCTAAATTATATAACTAACTACGAATTGCCGCGGTTATATGATTCACATCAGGCCGCCTGTATTATTGATATTATTATTATTTGTCTTTGTTAATTGATTAAAACAAAATAATTCAAAGGATTAAAATGTCAACTATAATTATGTTTTAAAATATCGGACTGAAAAAGCAAAAAGAAAAGAGAAAGGCAGGGGAGAAAGCAAAAGTTTATGAAAAGTCTATGAAATGTCAAGTCAAATAGAAGAACAACAACTAAACTTAAACTAGAAAAAAAGTATGTAAAGGTAGAAAATAGTGACAAGAAAGAAGAATCTATCTTGTTTAATGAAAAGAAAAACAACACACAAACACATACGTACAAACACACAACAAACAACACTTACTGTAATACGTTTACGTGTATCCACTTCAATCATAGCTCTTAATAATGACTGACAATCAGCTGAAACAAATGCTGGTATATGAAATACGCCTTTTTTGACTTTTTCCAATAGATTTCTTAAATTATCATCATCGAATGGTAGTGCACCCTGAAAGAAATGAAAAAAGAAAAAGAAAAATGGTAAGATGCTTAGAAACCATAATGAAAAGAAGGAAAACTCTAAGGATTAAGTTAAAGATAGGTGAAACGAAGCAAACGACTTGGACATGTTTATATATTTAAACATATTACAAACAGAAGATGGACTTGCTATATATACAGATTAAATGTTCACTTGAAGTAAGCCTTTGTTGTCTTTTTTTAAACGAGTTTCAAAAAGGGAATAAGTTTTAACTTTTATAAAAAGAGTGAAGGATAAAAGCAGTTCTTCAATTACAAGCTTTGGAACAAGTGACACATTCATATGTGTGGAAGAAAAGCGAAATTCTTGTTCGGCCTTACTAAATTAGAAATAGTAAGAAAAAGTTATTTTATGAGATCATAGTCAGTGGTAACACACTTACAGCCTGTTTTCCAAAAACATCACTAGAAGATAAGCCTACAGATTGGGTTATAGGAAAAACGACAATAAAAAAAGTTAAGTATAAAAAATAAAGAGACTGAAAAAAATTAGGAACCTAAAATTCACAGTAGGACAGAGATCATGAATGTATGCGCAGTCAGTTCAACGTGATGCAATAAAATAACATATGCCACATAATTATTTCGAATCACTTCATTTCAGAAAACTTCCACCGCCTTGTCGTCAAATTGCAAACACAATGTGAAAGTTCCTAGTTCTCTACTCCACTAACTGTACAAACTAATACCAAGTGTTTCATCTGGCAAATAAAAAAATGTGTTCTGTAGTACACGAATAGGAGATAATCTCCAACGCCTTCCCTCTTCCCCTCCGCTACCAAATCTTCAGGTGTTGTTAAGGGGATTGAAAATAAGTATAAACATGTCATTTAGAAATATATTTTTAGTGAGTAATTGTGATTCTGAGTCTGAAATCAGTCTGGAAATCTGCTGCGATGATCATATAGAACAACACTCGGATTTTCAGCACTAATATCAAATCACTTCTCCCATATAGTTTAGAGACTTAATTTGTCATCAAAAGCATTTTGAACACACTCTAGACTTTTATCTACAACTGTCTTTGCTCTATACAGAAGAACAGATAGCCGATAGGAAAGGATAGTCAACGAAGAACTATGACAGTGCAACAAACCAACAAAGAACCTGTTGACTAACAAATGTTCCGAACCAACGTTGAGGAGACTGCTAAGTGATATTATGAGCCAGACAGATTCTCGAGTGGAACTTGAATGGGAAACAACGAAATGGGCGTCCGAAGGTAACATGGAGGACATTATGTGAGGAGTTGAAAGCTTATTGGGAATTTTAGAGCCAGCTAAAGACGACTGCAGAGAACCAAGTGAAATGCAGACATGCTGTGGAAGACTTATATACCACTCGGAACCTAAAGGAATAATAATTCCATAACACATAAGTTTATTTCAAATAAATTATCGATCCCAATTATGAGCAATAATTTATGCTCGAAACGTCAATCCAGTTATTAATACTGCATCAATGTGTAGTATTTGAAATAAACTTATCTAGTAAGAAATTACATTCTACCACAGTGCCGAAGTTCTACACTTACATTAAAGAAATAATATCAGATATGTTCTTCCTTTCTTTGTTGAAACTAATCAAGGGAACAGGATGTATGAAATAATAATAAACAGTGATTCTCACAGAAACCCTCGACTGAAAACCATACTAAATCAGAAGACTTATGAACGAAACAAGTAGAAGGGAATAGTTCTTCTGAAGGCTGGAATCTATTATATCGATTGCCTCAGCATTATAACATTGGTAAATAAACATTCATTGTATCAGGGTAGTCTGATGAGTTTTTTGTTTATTGTCTTTTACATAGACATACAGATAATAGAGATGCAAGAAAACCTATTATACACATCAGCACTGTTTCGTACATTTCCCGCCTTTCTTAGAAAATATTTTATTTCTGTTGTTGTTTTGATTTCTTCTTATCGTGTCTTAGAAGTAAATAAAGTTTAAAATGAAGTTATCTGTGTTGTCACTACAGTACTAATTGTGAGGATCAACAAGTCTGAAACCAAATCGAATTCCACATCTTAATTAACAACAAAATGAGAGTTATCCTCATAGAGACAGAAACAAAGTTTATAAACGATAAGTTATTAATAGGATTGACTGATCATGAGCTGACATCAATTACAGAAATACTGGAAAACCAGCGGGGATTACTGGATAGCTGTTTCGTTCTAGCTTGGGACTCTTCATCAGTACGCACCCACTGAAGTTCCAACCCAGGACCTTCCGGTTACGAGTCGAGCTCGTAGACCATTAAGCCACTGGAACCCCACCTAATGGTTCATGAATTCCAACTTCTGCCAATTCGTGATATGTATATTTAGCGCAACCGCCAGCACCCCAGTAGGTGCGTACTGTTGAAGAATCCCAAACCAAGACGAAACAGCTGTCCAGTACTCCCAGGCTTTCAAATGGTTGTCTAACTGATGTCAGCTCGTGATCAACCCTGTACGAAATTGAATCCCTGCAAACTAACAAATCTGCACGCCACTTGACTACTCCTTAAACAAAAGGATCACTCTGATGACGTTGGAAAATGTTAACAAATAAATTCCCCTGAAATCATACTGATAATCAATAACTTGACATAGAAACACAACCATTCAGTTGATTAGCTACACGTATCTGTTTAAAAAATATGCTAAATACCCTTCTATTTATTTAAAACTAACGTTATATGTATCACAAACAGATGTGCTATATTTGTTTAAAAGTTAACAAAAGAAAAGGTATTGAATGTATGTATGTATTTACGTATAATTGAAACGTTTTTGTGTGGGTAAGACTTATACACATGAATTTTAGACAGTGAATCAGGGGGCTTTTACATCCCGCTCTATCTATTTGGTTAAAACTGGGTAATCATAATACGTCGAATATGCATTACAGCCTAGTACATACAAACTGGTAAGACATACTGTAGGCATTTTTTAAAATCTACTCAGCATCCAGCTATTAATAAATGCTAACCTGAAGAGAAATAACTATATATAAGAAACTTTACTAAAACAAGGAAGACCATTTTAAAAAGCGGCATTTTAAATTGGTAAGTAACAAACGCAACCAATAAAATTGAAAGTATTATGAAAACCATGTCTATTAATTGTTCTTCAATAGCCCACGTATTTTTTGTGCTTTTTATGTATTCAAGAAAGATAAACTCGAAGAAAAACCTTGTACTCATAAAACAAAATTGACTCATAGCATCCATCCATTCCATCCTTTTAACTTCTTTTGTTGTTACTATAACTCATTTTAGAATTTCATTTTTTTTTATTTCTTAAAAACAATTAAAATAGAAGGCGATTTTTTTTCCGGATAAGTGACGTAACACAACTCAAGTGTAGTTTGCCAAAAAAATATGTTAATATATTTCATCAAAACATAGGACGAATTTATTGCAGTTTTGGTATTATGCTCAGTTATGTTCAGTTTTTTTTTACTTCTTTTTGTCTTAGTAAGCAACTGAAAGAAGTCATGCAGATAAAAGTTGAATATTATTGAAGTAACTTGATCTTGCTGTAGATCATAGCACCATGTCTGTTGAGATTATACAAAATGGCAAAAAAATATATTCTTCAAGAAATAATCAATGTATTATACCTGTATACTTGATATAACCACCCATTTGTTAAAAGTATTTTGGTGATATTTATGTTCATAGAATTTTATAATATGCTAAACAATGTTCAACAAATTCCAATAATCAAGTATTTGTTTGTAAGGATTTTGTTCGATTGGTTGAAGGATTTCATCACGAACTGACATCGGTTAGAGGACTATTGGAAAACCTCGGAGTACTAGAAAGCTGTTTCGTCGTAGTTTTGGACTCCTCAACAATACGCACCTACAAGGGTTCAAAACCAAGGCGAGCTCGTAAACTATTAAACAACTGGGATCTGATGCTCATTAGAGACTAGCCTTATTCAGGGAGGCAGTTACCTGGGGTTCTAGTGGGAAGCCGTGACCAGTAGGGCACAGCAGGTGGAAGGTGGGGCAGTTACTCATCGAAGACATTGCTAAGTGGTCGCGCTATGTCGTGAATTAGCAGAAGTTAGAATTCATGGGCTGGCCATTGAATCGGGTCCCAGTGGCTCAATGGTCTACGAACTCACCTTGTAACCACAAGGTGCTAGGTCCGAACCCTGGCGGTGGGTGCGTACTAATGAAGAGTCTCAAACTAGAACAAAACAGCTGTCCAGTAATCTCCACTGGTTTTCCAATGATTCCCTATCCGATGTCAGCTCATTATGAAATCCTCCAACAAATGCCAATAAATTAATTAAATACAGACTGAAACATCAGTAATGTCAATGATAAGTATTTGTTGTGGCACAAGTCTTTGGATCAATCCTCAACGTATAAATTACAGAGGTTTCTGGGTTTACTAACAGCATTGTATGAGTACTTAGGAAGTAGCTTAAGTGAAACTTTAACTATAAATTATCTTCACAATTTACTCACAATGCTTGCACTTTTCTCGTAACCAAACAAATGGTTAAGAAGACTTGAGAAGCTGAGAAGAATTTTTGAGGATTTAGAGATCAGATTTTTGACATTCTAGTAGTTTGTTTGCTCTCTTATCTTTGAATTTTGTCTAAAGAACACTCATTGTCAGCCTTCAATGCTGCTTTATGAGGGAACTTTATAATATCAACCACTTAATAAATAAATATCAATAGTTGTTTGTTCAAGAAGAATAACTAGAATTTTTCTTAAAGAGGGATTTATTATTAGTAGGCAGCTCATATGTGTATATAACAATTGCACTAAAACGTAGTGGAAAGCGAAGGATTCACAGTTTTTCCACAGGAGTCAGAATGTATTCAAAGTTTAATCCCAAAGAAGGCAAGTAGAGATTACCTGAGTTGACTAAAAACTTTAATCAGTGGTATCAGGGTGGATAATACATAAAATGTCTGTAAAATTAAAAAAGGACAGTTACAAGAAAAGCTTTTACTATTTATTTTAATGAAATATTCTCAATCAAAAATTTTATTAGTGTTAACAAAGGTATGTGCCATGGGGGCCTTCAAATGACAGTAAACTCCAGGCTCTCTAGTGGAATCCGAATGGAAAATTATTAGTTGGAAGTAACAGAGAGACATGAAGTAGATCATGTGAAGAGGGAATGAAAGATTGTTGGCTGTCGTCGAGGCAGGTGAAACAGGCAGCAGAGAACAAAGCACAATAGAGTTGTGTTGCTGAAGTTTTGTTCCATTCAGTACCCAAGGCACGAATAATAATAATAAAAATAACAATTACAAGGACAAGTGATACTGAGTAAAAATTCATAATTATCAAGCAAAAAAATCTGTTCCTTACATTGTGAAAGCTAATCAGAACTCAGTTTTGAGACGAATCCGTCAGTAGGAATCTGTGTACGTGTGGTGACTTTATTCTTTGCAGTAAAATACTACATTAGATGTTGACAGTTTCTGTTTACTTCCTGTTTCAACAATAAGCGCAGAAGTAAAATAATTGAATTGCCTTTTTGATTGGTCGAAATTCGATCTAGGAATTTCTTTTATGATGACTTAAAAATAATACGCACACCTGGAACAAATATTCACCCCTAAATTCAATTAAAAATGAAAACTCTACAAGCTTTCCCTTTGAGAGCACATTCAGAGTGTGGGCACGCATACTTCCATTGGACCAACATTTCTCTTTTTTTTCCTTCACGTTCCCCAGTGGAACATAGGGCTTCAAGCTAGAGGCTTGAAGTTTCTGTAGCAGTGTTTATTTTACAGGATGAGGTTGCTAGCCTCATGCCCAACCTTTCCTCTTCACCAGCATTATTTCTGGCTTAGGGAGGTAAAGGAGTGCGTTGGCCGGGGATCGAACCCCGGACCATGTGCATGGTCGGTGAGCGTCCTAACCGCTATACCACCGACGCACTAGCATCTCTCTGGTCTATTCTATTTTATACCAACAACCATACTATGTGGTAATGAATTTCTCTTCAATACAAACATAACCACCCATTGATTCATATCATTTGCATGCAGCACTACTAGACCACCCATAGCACGTCTAATGTCACCCCCCTTACGTTATACTTTCTCAGAATGTAGACATGAAAACCATTCAGTAAACAGCATTTATAATCAACTGACATTTTGTCAACAAAACGTATAATCCGTATAGTCTAGTCAAAATTATATATAAATAAAAAACAGTTTGTCACGTGAAACAAAACTTAATTAAAAATAAAACTTTAAGTTATTCACAGAAATGTGTGTGTTAAAGTGCGTTCCTATGACACCGTAAGTGTTTGAAGTTACTAATAAACACAATGTGTGAAATAAATCTTCCTGTTACCATTCTAACATACACCAATTGAATGACCATGCAAATATAAATCAATGTACAATTTTTGACTGAATGAAAAAGTTACTGAGTTGGTTGCTGGTGGCCAGCAGTGGAATCACAAACGCGTATTTTGTTCCACTTGTGACCTGTCACCTGGAGGTGTCAGAATGTCCTATGAGTCATAGTATTCCTACTGAGAATCGAATCCAGCACCCATGGTTTCGACAAGTAATTTACTTATTTGTTAACTACGACGCAATCATTATCTGATAAAAATGCTATAAAGATCCCTGAAAATGGCTAGAATAAATTTTGGACAGGCATTATATATATATATATATATATATATATATAATGCCACCGATGTGCAGCAGTTCCAGTTGCCACACTTTACTTAGCACACAAAGCACGAGAAGAAAGTAAAAAGAGATTTAAAACAGAGATAATAAATAGAAATATAAGGCAAAAAGAATAGTGATATGGAGGAACAAGATGGTTTTATTGGATATGTTAATTCACAAGGAGTGGATGCATCTGCACCATCCATTGAGAACGATTTTGAGCTATATCACCAATTGTCTCCAGCCATTGGTTTTTACCGCCCCAGGAAGTCTACATCTTCCTACGTGGCTGGCTTAAACTAACTAATGTGAATTTCATTGACTGATGAAGCCGTATTTTCATTTGACGATCAGTGGCTCTTTTCCAACCTGATCCTATGTCAGCTAACATTGTCAAGAAAACTACTGCTAGCAAACCGATAAACTTACGTAATAAATGCCCGACCCCACAGATTAGTCAGTCTAAATAGCTTCTACTAGACAGTAAATACAACTAATACAAATTTACATGTAAAACAGAATTAATGACACCACATGCTTGAATATTTTGTACACTAGAAACAGCTAACAGTACACCTTTGTTGTTCATCTGTGATTGGGTGGTGATTATTATTTTCAAGAAGAAATTTATTAACCAGTTCAGGGATTGACTACATCCTTCGTCTTTATTGTAAGTCTTGTTTGCATATCACAATGTGCGCTATAGTTGACATGTGAGGATTTAATATACAACTCAATTTTCTGGGTTAATTTAAATAGCTTAGTGTTTAAAATCGTCATTACTGACCCAAAGTCCAGTGTCTATATAATAACAGATGCGGTCTGCTAATACTTTCTAGTTTAAAATCAAATAGTAAAATTCCAACCGTTTTCATTACCAATGGCATCAGAAGTAGGTTTAAGGATACGGTTCGCAATATAATCTCAGTTTCTTGTCAAGGTAGTCACAATAAAAGCAATTGATATTCGATTCATACACTTATCTCTGTAATAACAGTCAGTGTATCGTTTACATTATGAATAGTTTCCTCTTTAAACGTCCCGAAGAAAATTTCGTGACACAAGTAAAAAGACGACATTATACTTTCTAAACTGAGAAAATCAGTGTAAATAGATAATCTATTAAATAAACTAGGATTTGTGGTAAAATGAAGTGTTACTTAGACCTTTAAACACTAAGGAAGCAAAAGGTACATAACCAATGCTAAAGAAATATTGTAGAGCTTGTCACAGCATACAATTTGTCTAGGTCCATACTGATGAATCAGAAGCAAGAAGAGTCGCATGATATTTCGAGCATAACTTCGTAGGAAGATGTAGAAGGAAGTTAATCCCTGTGGAGCCTTTAAAACAAAACAATTTAGTTTATCTAATACCCTGTCTGCAATGATTGTCAGGTCAAATACATAAGTCAAACTAGTAGAACAGGGGCAGTCAGACTAGCCGAGCATAAAAACGTAGCAAAGTCTAAATTAGTTGACCCGAATAAGATAAGAAATCTAGAGAATAATTCAGCTATAGCACTACATGCAGTTACACACAACCATACAATAGGATGGGATAGGATGACAGTTTTAAAATCTAATGTCACAGGGTTGGGGGGGGGGGGGAGATTGATAACAGAAGCTTTGTTTATCGAATCAACTGTAAATACGTGTAATAGGAATGATTCAACACCTGTCCAGCAAGATATCTGGAGAATTCTACTACCCCAACGACGACAAACAGGAGAGAACAAAGAAGACTGTAAAATTCAATTTTTGAAGTCGTGTGATTATAATTGATGTGATTATGAGCAATAAATTTCGTTCGAAACGTCATCCAGCAAATAATACTGTTTCACTGTTTTATATATCTAATAAACAAACTAATTTGGAAGTTAATCCCATATAAGCATATATATAGATGGAGTTCACATTTGCCAGGAAAAGTTTCCCACCCCAGGAAACATGAAATAGTTGTATGCATAATAAAAGATTGTAGAGTTACAACTGGATAAATTGACAGCATAACAGCACAAAAGTGATACATATAAATGCACGAAGACTTACCACTAAGAGAGCATATAAAATTACACCACAGGACCAAACATCTGCCATACGTCCATCATATTTTTCGCCCTAATATTTTTGAAACAAAATACATAATACAGAAATGATGTAAATATTGTTAAGTAGAACGTTGTCACTGAATAATGGGAAATTTTTAAGTGCTATCACATGATGATGCAATAATCCAATCAAACGAGAAAAAACAATGCTAGGTGGGGGTGGGGGGCAGTGTAAGCATAAATTGTACAATTACACATATAAGATAACAACACAAATACAACAACACCAACTGGAGTTCAGCACGAAAAAAATATTCATACCAATAACTGGATAGTATGTGTAAACCATACTACAAAATAAACCAATAAAGGTGACACAAAGTTGACTTTTTTTAAGATCTCTGAAGATTCTTTTTCAAATGGAAAATAAATGGTTCATACGAGCCTCACTCACTGGTGATAGAGTTTATCTTAAACCACATATAAGAAGAAGGGAAATGACATTTGTGCAGAATATGACCATTGACTTCATAGTCATATTATAACATCTTTTTACGACTAGACTACTAAGCGGCATTTTAACCAGAACTTAGTTGACCAAAAGGACTTTTCAGACATCAGACTTTGGTTCATACACAATATGTGTGGGATGATATTACTATTAAGTTCCCAAGATTGGAGCTCGATTTCAATCAGAGATACATTGGTTGAAAGTATAATACATAAGCCAACAGGTCATGTTTCTAGTGTAAGGTAGAAATAGAAATATGTACATTTGGGGAAGCAATTTCTACGTGAAAAGATAATATCAACTAGTATGCTGTCATCTGATAGCATAATACTGACCAATTTAACTGGTAAATGATATAAACTCAAGAGTGGAGATTATTAGGCAAAAGAAAAAATCTCTTCAACAAACAAACTGATAAAGATAACAAACAATCATTCACAATTTGCCGCCATCAACTGGCGTTTACCATTAAAACAAATAAAAATCACCAATTAGGTTTTTCTTCGTTTTTACTAACGATAATACTTTAACCGGTACTAAATATTAACCAAATACCCAACAACAGTTAGATTAAGACTGACATCGATTTATCATGTTGCTTATATGCATTACTAAATCATTAGACTATAGAAACCTTCAAAAATCACCAAAATACTACTTGTCTGTTGCATTGATGACCGTCTGAATGTACTTCTAGTGAAGAAGTCAGCTATTAAAGCTTTCAATTCAGAATATGCACTAAAAGAGAAATACTTTTTTAATGCAAAAATAACAAACTCAGCAATATGGATGACTTATGCTTTTACAACAATAACAAGACAAAGTTTCATATGAGAAAGACTCAAATAATCTATGAATTGACTGACTTTTGAATCCTGTAGCATGGTTTCTGGAAAGAAGTTAAGCAACTCAGAACAGTGATCGTCTCAGTTAGGAATAGACAATGAAACAATACTGTACACAATGAAAGTTCATGCATGAAGATACTACCTTCCATAGTGTTTCCTCTTTCTCTACTTTCTATGCATTTTGAATATTAGTGTGACTTATTACCTATAGGATTGTCTGACAGTTCTTGGTTCCACAAAATCAATTAATTGCCCTATTTGGGAAATAAATGGTGAAAGTATTACCTCAAAGTGGAATACGCATCCGCCGGTGAAAATTCATATTAAAATAACTTACAAGTGCAGATTTTCGAAGTAGTGAGAAAAATAACGTTCATGCTTAACTCTGAATGAGAATACCTTATGAATTTAAACTTCATGCATTCAGGCATAAAATGAGGTATTCACAAATTGCAATTACCAAACACCTTGTGTATACTGGGGTAGTTTGTCAAGATCTCCAAATCATTCAAAATATTTAAACGTCCAAAAGAGATCGAATTTACTTCGATCAGCCGAAGCGACAGCGATCAAACGTTTTCAACCAAACTCATGTGTACAGAAAGAAAGTATGATCGACCTTTCACTCCTGTGGTAGCAGCACTTTAATTTTCACTACGTTGATTGTATAATAAACCATGTAAGGGATTCCAGCTCACTAAGCTAGTTTCAATCTTATGAACTGTAATTTTCTTGAGTTCTTATATAATTCTATAAGCTAACACCGTTCATTATAGTTTCTGTATTTTTGTCTTCCCCGGCTCTCTCCTATTCTACTTTGAAATACATATAAATTGGTGATAGAAATAAATCTATAACATTTTCTTCGAAATCGTTTCAACATTGAAATGTGTTGTTTTCATTGTTTCATAACCTCTCTGATTTCGGGTAGTCTTCAGCTGATGGGGATCTTTCTTGTTTTGCTGAAACTACTTTGCACTTAATATTTTGGACTTATTAATAACTATTCGCGGTTAACCATCTCTCAAAAACAAGGCATTCACTAGAAATATCTCAAAAGATGAACCAGAAATTTTTTTTTCATGTAGAACACATAGTGTGTCTATAAAATTTCAATGCCAAAATATTTCAATTGATAAAGAAAGCATACTTAACCTGTTTTATGTGCTTTATTAGTTTAATTGCCTTGGTAACATTACTATGGTGAGTTTCTTTTTCTATTACATGGATAATTTATTGAAAAATGCGATCATGAGTGAAAAAAGTGAGAAAGATTTTTAAAAACAAAACAAAAAAGTGAAAAAAGATACCCAGATGATCATTCAATACAATACTTCAGTGACTTGAGTTATATAAGCACAGAGTTTGCATGCACTACTGAAAAGTATAGCAGTCAAGAATACATACAACAAGCTATAATGGAAATAAACAAGCAACTGAGTGAGTGATACAACATACATATAAACCAGTGGAACAAAATAATAATAATAAGAAGAAGGTTATTTATCTTCATCATTATACCGTGTCAACAAACATGCATTGTATCATTTTACAGTGAGTACTTCTTACCCTTATTACTTCAGGACAAGCATAATGAGGTGAGCTGAACAGATAGATGAATGACATTGGTAAAACAAATATTTTAATAATGTCTTATACTTGTATTATATATACATGATTTCATGAATAGCCATAATTACCTGAAGAGAATTAAGGCTTACCTTTGTTTTCAATAAAAATGATAACAGATGACGAATGAATTCGTTCTACCTCGAAAATATATCAAGGAATATGCACTTCCATCTTGTCTAGTACAAGAGCAGTAAGTACTACTACTACTACGAAAATATGAATATAATCACACTTAAGCGTAGAGATAATAAATGTGATAAACAATGTTGACGATAAACACATTTATCATCTTGACAAACTCTCTTTTATACACTTTTATTTATATACACAAAGAATGGAATGCTGTAGAAAGAACTTCAGTTCGAAGTCGAAATTCATATTAGTTAACACAGGTAGATAACAGTCAAAAAAAATTTGAAAGACATATAAACAAAGTGTATTAAGAGATTCTTTTTGAAAATGGTAACAGTATAAAGTGAGACATTATTAAGGCTGTATGCATTTTTTGGACGAACAGTTGAAGCTTGAAGGAAAACAGTAACAGCATTGTGTTTTTTTTTAAATTGTACACAGACTAAAATGAGGTTTGCACGTATAATTAACAAATCACTGGAATACTTTATACAATACTACAATAGATCTTTTATAAATAAGCGACAAAATCTTTTGACAGCCACATAGAAAGGTAGTAGGAATACACCTAAACCTGTCTTTTCATTAATAAACAAAAATAAAACAAAATGAAAGAACAACTCTCCAGATTGAGAATAAGTTTAACTTTCAGTACAATAAAAACTTTTTTCACACCACTACTCAACAGAGTCGAACACTTAACTTTCACGCAAACAATACCTGTGTAAGATATTTTGAAAGCAAAATATACTGGTTATGTATTAAATAGAGTTGATTCGTAAGGATTTGATTTGTTTTCCGAGTCTGACGACGGATTGATATCAGTTAGAGAACTAGTGGAAACCACGAAGTACTGGACAGCTGTTTCGTCCTAGTCTGTGACTCATCGGTGGTACGCACCTACTGGGGTTCGAACCTAGGACCTACAGGTTACACAGAAAGCTGGTACACCATTCAACCACTGGGACTCAACTCAATTGTCCATGAATTCTAACTTCTACCAGTTCTTGATATTAGCGTGATCACCAACTAATATCATCGGCAGGAACTTCATCCTCGCTCCCGATTAGATGAACCTCACTGGTCACGACTTCTCACTGGAACTCCAGGAAACTCCGTCCTACAGCAAGTCACTAGAGTGCATCAGATTAATTTTCAAGAGTTGATTTGGTTTTGGAGTTTGACCACGGACTGATATCAGTTAGCGAACCATTGAAAACTAATATTAATCCGTGATCAAACTCAAAAAACAAATCAATTCCTGAAGATGTATTAAATGTCAATATGGGCAGTAATGGCGACAAAGTCATCAAGAACATTTATGTGGATGAATAACATCATCAACTGAAAAGATGAAAACTCTATTAGGTAACCTTCTTTTATATATGCTATGATTTTTAAAAATAATAGTAAAGCTTTATTTCAGACAATTTGTGAACATATATTACAGAAATTTTCAGTGTATTTAGTTGCAAAATATTTCCTCTTCATAGAGAATTAACAAGTAAAGTAATAATCTGAAGTACATCATTTGTCGTAGTGCGTCAGTGGTATAGCGGTTAGGACGCTCGCCGACCATGCACATGGTCCGGGGTTCGATTCCCGGCCGACACACTCCCTTACCTCGCTAAGCCAGAAATAATGCTGGTGAAGAGGAAAGGTTGGGCATGAGGCTACCAACCCCATCCTGTAAAATGAACACTGCTACAGAAACTTCAAGCCACTAGCTTGAAGCCCTATGTTCCACTGGGGAACGTGAAGAAAAAAAAATCATTTGTCGTAGTGTAGCTGCATATGAAGAGAGAACCAATTCTGTATATTTTTCCTTGAATTCCTTCGAAAATTGCATAGCGTATAGTAGGAAACTAAGTAAATATACGCGCTAGTTCATGTATTGGTCATTTGATAGAATTGCACGATTAAAAAAATAAGAAGTGCAGAAGAGAGTTTAGGCATTTTGATGATTCTGGTAGCCCAGTGATTTAAGCATGCCGCCAGATATCATGAATGATACTGTCACATAAGATACCAGACAGTAGTGCTTCTTTAGCTGAAATCTGGTTTATTGTGTTGTGTTTTTCTTATACTAAGAACTCAGATAATCTGAAACATTTATGAGATAAACAACTTATCACAAACCCAGAGTTTGGATTGAATCATAAATTTATAGTTTTCTTTCCATTCACTTCAAACTTTCATCTTATCTTTTTTTTAAGTTTCAATAAAAATAACTTTTTTTTAAGTTAGACTATCGACTGTTATGTAGGGGTTATGATCTATTGACTCCAATCTGCAACTTTTACGGGTCTCAGTCTATTATTCATCGTCATATCTCTGATGTCACAAATAATCAATAGCTACTCTTACTACACATGAAAACTGATACTATTCGGTAGCTTTCTGAGGAATTTTGTCTTATTAAGCTACTACACTTGGAGATAAAAAGTGTGTGTGTGTGTGTTGGTGGGGGGAGGAGAATAAAAACTCAACGCTTAAGAGACATCAAAATGATTTTCACTCTCCGCCTCAGATAGAAACATTTACACTGTCTGACTTAAGCCGACTCTATATTGTGGAGAAACAACTGCAATAGCCATATCGTACCCTTATTTAGCTATCATATATAACTCTGAATTGAATTAGAGGAAAAAAGTGAGTAGTACAAAATGAATGCTATGACAGCCTAAATCAAAATCAAATATTCTACTGACCATCAAGTCTCTATGAATGGAAATTAAATAATGATTAATAAAAACACACGTAGTAATATAACTGTTTTATATTTACAAACCACCTTAGATACTGTATTATATCTCTAAAAGGGAATTAAACAAACACGACTGAAAGTTAATTGAAATTTTCAACAAGAAGGAGGCCACACCTTTAGTTTAGTAATTAGAAATGAAACGTAAAGTATGCGTCACGGCTTATCATGGAAGATAAACATTTTATCGAAAAAATATCACCAGTAGTGAATTCGATTGTCTATACGTTTTTCTCCACATAAAAAACAGTAGATTAGTTCTGTATACTAGACCTCGCACACAATAATTATTCACAAAGTACTAAGCGAGTCGAAGAATCTAATAACTACTTCATCTAAAAGTCCTGTCTACCGTCCATTCAAGTTTGACGACGGATTGATATGAGTTAGAAAATCATTGAAAACCAAGGTGTACTGGATAGCTGTTTCATCGGAAGTAGACACCCAATGGGGTTCGAACCCTAGGTCCTTCCCGTCACAAGGCGAGCTCACAGACCATTCAGCCATTGGGACCCGACTCAATGATCAGCCCTTAAATTCTAACTTCTACCAATTCGATGAGTCCCAAACCAGGACGAAACAGCTGTCCAGCACTCCACGGTTTTCAATGGTTCTCTAAATGATATCAATCAGAGGTCAAATTTGAAACACATCCCTATAACCTAACCTTTGAAAAATATTTTCCATTCACTGTAATACTTAATATGAGTCTTGGGATTTCATCTGCAATGTTGACGATACATTTGTAGTGTGCAACAATGAAAGTCACGTCTCCTACCTACTTGGATCATTCAAAGACGCACATACAAATATTGAATTTACTATGGAACATGAAAATGATGGAAAGTTCCATTCCCCTGATATTGTCAAGCAACGCTTGAAAGACGGTAGTTTCCAGAGGTCAATTTACCGAAAGCCTACATGGAATGGACAATACTTACATTTTAATAGTTTTATCTAAAAAGCTATAAAAGAGCACTAGTCAAGACTCTGTACTATAGAGCGAGGAGAATATGCTCTACAGAGAAATTAGAGGAAGAATTTTTGATTCCATAAAAGATGTTGGAAAACAACGGTTACCCTCAGAGACTAACTAACAAATATGGAAGATGTGAAGGCTCAAATTTCAAACAAATAACAGTGGGGAAAAAGCCTATCTTCATTCAACTCTATTTTAAAGGTGAAAAATATTTCAGCAATAGTCAACAGAGGATTCAGTACATCACTAGTCAGAACCTATCCTATGGCTAAATTGGTTCCCGTCTATCGGACAACATGATCTTTGGTGCAATCAAAAGTCGACAGATATCCTTCTCACATTAGCCATAACCGTGTATACAAATTTACATTTATCTGCGTGATCAGTTACGTTGAGAGAATAGAAAAAAGGACACACCTCTGATTTTCTGAACATGTACCAAAAGGCCTACGTCTCAAGGGAACAAGTGCTTACAATAGTGCCATTACCAGGCATCTCCTTCGTACGGATCATGAGGTGGGAATTGCAAAGTCCTCTAAAATTATCAATAGACAAAAAAACTTAATTCTCCTCAAATTTGCCGAAGCAATCTCTATCAGACGCCTAAAACCCGAACTGTGTGTTCAGAAAGAAGCAGTTATCAGTCCTTCCTTACCCTGGTAACTGGATGTCTTTACTCTCTTTCTCCCTCTCATCTGAATACGTAATCTTTGGCTTTAACTTCACCCCCTTTGATATAGTATAATTCTGCTTGTCTCTTGTTTTTATGATTTAAGGTGAAGTCAATATACTGTTACCCAATTTATTAGTGAGTCATCATCTTGCGCACCCCTCGTCTTTATTACACAACTCCCTTACCATTGTATGTATACACAGATTTTGTTTATACTTGAAATCTCTGTGCAAAAACCATAAAAGCGTAATTTTCTGAGCACTGTTCCCTAAGTTCGGAACCTCCTGTCAACTGACATCATGTAACAACATTCACAGATATGTTAAAAATTGTTCTGTACATAAACTTAATAATTTCTTTGGGCTGTAAGCAGCTGATGAGAAGTCAACGGGATAAATGATGGTACTGTCTTATTCTGCACAAACAGTAGTCTTTGCTTTATCCGAATTCATAAATGGAAATAAGTGTATTGAGTTACAGAGAGAATTCATCAGTGACAATTAACACCACATACAAACTAACAAGTAGTTGATGCACTTAAGTCTGACTGAAATATGTGATCAATAATATTTGTCAGAATGTCAAACAAATACTTATAATAATATATCAGTAGGCAGTTTCCAATTGTTTTCATTACTAAATCAGTGATGTGAGGTAACTATGACATTATTGATAAAAAATTATGAGTATTTCACTGTTTATCCCTATCTGATTGTTTTTATTATTTTTTATCTATATCTATATTCAGTAATGCATATATATTTGTTTTCTAAATGCTTTCAATTATCTTTTAGACTATTTGTTCCCTTCAAACTACTTTCAGAATAAACAAACATAAAGTACTTCTGCAAAGTAGTTATTTTTTTGCATTAATAGTTAATACCTATCGGTTATTTGTTTAGGGAGGAAGAAAAAAACCCACTTATATGTAGAATTTGTTTCCTACAAAGAATTATATTATTCGCATTCGACATTAACTGGATAAAATCTTGGCCTATTACCATTTCAGGATGCCTTTCAATCAACTGATCACATTCAAAACTAGGGTTACTTTTACGTCATGGGGATTAGACAAATGTGTTTTATCCCATAAATGATTCTCGTAATGCTTCTCTATTCGCTCATTAGCATCATATAACGTCAAAATAATAAGTTATAATCAGCCTATTTTGACAAAATTAGTTAGAACTCAGTTAATTAGAAGAGATCTTCCATTGAGTAGACTATACGCCACACTTATTATGTGAGTACTGATAATACTAACTAGTCGCCCAGACTGAAGTAGATACTTGGTATTCCCATTGGCTGAAAGTCAAATGCTAAGACCAGTGAACCACATCTCCACAACTCTGATACGCTTCAACAATTTTACACAAATTAAAATATTCAACGGAAGTTAAATAAGCCATCTGTATCCCTGCAGAGATTTCCTCACAGCCGCAAACCAAATTTATTCTCAACATGCCTCACATTACTATACCTAACAGTTACTTGATTGAAGAGCGGTATTTATCAAGTTAAACAGCATCGTTGCTTCACATTACAACGCTGTGCGTCATGAAAAAAGAGGCAATACTACTTTTTTTCTAAACTAACAAAAATGAAGACAGCAATTGAAAGAAACAGGAGAATTGTAACAAAAATACTTGGTTCTGATTGATTTTCAACGACAACGCCTAATTTCTAAAAATAGACTACTATTATTTATACAGATATATATGTATGTTTGGTTATATATACATGTTTCAAGAGGGAGTGTATGAATTAACCGATGAAAATCATAGTTTGTGATGATATTAGATGGTTGGAGGCAATTGGCAGGAAGCCTTGGACCTAGGTTTCGTGCTATTTGGCACTCTTCAGCAAGGCGTATCTGCAACCTTGAAGGAACTCATGTCCCTTCTGAGATTCAAACCCGTGTCACCCAGTGCTGCAGTCAGAGACGTTACCACTGAGCTATTCGGGTTCGCGATTGACCTCCTGTAGGACTGTAGTGGATATTTTGATTTGACACTAGTAACTAGTGTGATGCGTCTAGTCCTCTCTTTGGTGCAGACTGAATTCTATCAGTCAGGTTGTAATGTGGCCACCATTCTAGGTAGCTCGCCATCACGGTGTACATTGTTTGTAATGATATTAGATGGTTGGAGGCAATCGGCAGGAAAATCATAGGCATTACACTATCTATTGTAAAACAAATTTAATATGTGCATGAAACTATCTTCCTTCGTTTATTGATGCTTTTCGCGGTTGTTAGGTATTTCCCTCACTCACACACACACACACATGCATGCATGCATGGGCTACCTCTTAGCTGGATTCTCGTCCTTCTTCTCTTCATATTTGATGTGAATTGATCACTTCATCAATACCCTGGAATCTCTGACTTTATTCTAACTCTTTAATTCTAGAATGGACGTGAGATAAACTTACAATGCTAAAGTAAGGTTAGTGAATGACAAATATAGAAAACAGATGACGCACCATATATATATATATATGATAAAGAGAAAGAGTGTGGTGAATAACGAAATGACAGAAAAGGGTAAAAAGTTGAGAACAAAATAAGATTAGAGTAAAATATATTCAGATGTGATTTAGTTATGCCCGACAGAAATTAAGCAAGGGGAAAAAATATCACCGTCTATCTAGCAAATTATTTTCGCTGATTAATATAATAAAAATAGACTGCATAAAATGAGAGGTTATACTTCAGAAAAAGTAAATGATAATATAACAACCACAACTTTTCAAATTATATCAAATAAGCATTGTTATGCGATAGTCTATTGGAAAAACCTGTAAAAAATTGTAGCTACATCGCCAACTAGTTAGTTAGTGTTATCTTTCATATGCTGATAGCTTTATGACAAACAGTACAGTGTTCATCGAACAAATCACTCTTTCAAAACTTACATTTTTCTGTACATAGCTAACTACACAATTACTAACATACTGTTACGATACATTGAACTCTCTATACATGAATGAAAATAAAGCATAGCAAACTAAGGAAATGTCTTTGGTCTCTATTTGTCTACTTTTACGTTATTAAAAAAGTAGCACCGTAGAAAGAGTAAAAAATAAAGATACTCGAAAAGAAATAAATTGTTAGGATGAAAAAGCCACAAAACAGGATGAAACTGTTAGACTGTTCATAACACGAGCTGCAAAATGGATCGCTTGACTTCATCAATTATTGATTTTTAATAAATGACAACTTCTAATCAATGACTTTACAAATAAGTGCCACTTTGTGGTATGAAAGCTGAAGTAGACTACGAATGTGTAAGATTAGCAGTAGTTGTCTCAGCTGCCAACTATCACTGATGATGCTATTCCTGATTTTGATGGACTGGATCATGCAACAGACCATGGGGAGCAAGAAGAAAGGTATACGTCGGGCCGGTAGGAAGACTCTAGAAGGTCCGGACTTTGCAGATGATTTATGTCTGATGTTATACAAACTCGAAGATCTGCAAGCGAAAACCACCAATTTAACAGAAGAAACAACACAGAAAGGATTTTAAGAGAGCATGGAGAGTGTAGAGGTGATGAAGACACTTAACCAACAATAACAACAAGCACCTGTCACCATCATCGGAAGAAAATTGAAGGGAGTTACTTCTTTTGCCTATCTGGATAGAATCGTCTCAACTAAAAAACCCATAGATGAGGATGTCAAAGGCGAAAAAAGACCTTTATTAACTTGAATTCAGTTTGGAAATCTTCTTCACTCAACGTAAAGAACAAGATTCGAATTTCAACAGTGATGTCAAGTCAGTTCTTCTTTATAGATCAGATATTCTTCATGGCATGTCACCAAAAGCATTCTTAACATGTTTCAGAATCGATGGCCAGAAAGGATTAGCAGCAAAGAACTCTGACAGTACAACAAACCAATCAAGAGCCTGTTATCAAACAAATTTGTCCAGGAAAGTAGAGATGTATCAGAAACACATACTGAGGAGACCATTGAGTGACATCACGCACATTACAGGTCCTCCAGGAGGACCTGAGTTGGAAACAACGAGTTGGATGTCTGAGGGTGACATGGAAGAGATCATGTAAGGCGGAGATGAGGACCTATGAGCAATCATAGGGTCAGCTAAAGACGACTGCAGAGAAGAGGATGAAATGGACTTGAACTTTTAAGGAAAAATGATAAATAAGTAATAATAGTACTTGTCTCAATGCCGCTTTCAATTGATAACATACTATGATAAAGTTATAGGTAAACGAATGGACGAACACAGTTTATTTCCTGATTTCATATAACTGAATCAATCGTTTGTCAAGTAATTAGCTCAAAATGTCAAGTAGTAAAAAATAAGAAACAATATTTTGTAGATTACTACGAGAAAGATGGTGTTGACAAATGGATCGGTAGATGGATGGTTGGTTTGTTGGTTGGAGTGGTGAAATAATAATGGCATCTTTTGTATATTTGAATTAATTAAACAACTGTCAAATGAGACGCTGAAAGCATTATTTTAAGTTTCGTAATTTCTCTTTGTCTCTTCCTATTCTTCACCTTTTTTTGTAATGTAAAAATAATTCTGACACATTCATTTAATCATTTCAACTGCTTGGAATAGAAGTGATGTGAATCTTTTCAGTAGATTCATCTAGTTTGATGAAAATACACTAAATAGCCGTAATTCTCAATGTTAGGAGAGGAGATGGAATACCTTAAAATATGTTTTCACCGGAAGAAAAAAGATACAGATCAATCAGTAAAGCAAATAAAAATGAAGAGCCGAAAGCACACTTACCCACAACTTGTTTCTAATAATGAACCTTCAGGTTGTAATGACGCCATACCGAAATCAGCAACACGTATATTCAGTTGATCATCCAGTAATAGATTCTCTGGCTTCAAATCTCTATGGCTATAATAACAGTAATAATAATAATAACAATAATACAGATGATTACATATATACTTAGATACGGGTTGAACTGAACTTTGCACTAAAGTGCAGCAGTTCAAGTTGCCACATTTCATAAAAGCATACATAGAGGCTGAAATAAAGAAATGAGAATAAACTATAATAAACAGTAATACACATAGGGAAAGAATAATTAAGCGAAGAATAATGAGAATTTAATGGATCTGATCTAGGAGTGCAGGAAAAGCAAATATATATCTGCATAATTGAAGACGGTGTTGAGCCGTGTCACCAGCAGTCTCTAACCATTGGTTTTAAACCTCTTGGGGATTCTAGCCAGATAGCTTGCACAACTCTAAGTGATTCAGACTAGATATGGACAGATCACTACTGAATGAAGTAGTTTAAAGATATTAATAGAAGCAGATAATTCATTTCATTTTATTAACATAATTCCAGTTTACTAATTTGCGAGAACTAGTAAACATAATAAGAGGAAGTTGAAAAATTACTGAATTCAACACAGTGAAACGAAAAGTATAACTGTCATAATCCAATAAAACATTATGAAGAAAGGTGTATCTATCTAGAAATAATCTATTTCTATCAAAAGTTTCATTTATAAAGTCAAATTAAACAATAGGTTCAAAATATCTTGAGTTAATTAGACTACAATATATATGCTGTAGGCTACAGTTGTAAATTCAAATATAATTGGGAAGTAAATTCATAAGTATATTATTATTATTATTGTATCCTTTAATTCCTAGAGGAAAATAGGGCTTCAGCCGTGCATCTTCATTGCGTTCGGTTCTCTGCTAGAGTTTTCACCTGGCTTCAAGTCTACCCACACGTTTTCATCTCCTCTTTACATGACCTCCTCCAAGTCACCCTTGCACTGACGACCAACTCGCCGCTTCCCTTTCGGGTTCCATTCGAGCAATGGCTTGTCTATTGATGTCACTTGATGCATTGTTTCCTCAGAGTATGGCCAGCCAATCCATCTCCATTTCTTCCTGCCTATTTGTTTCATAACCGGTTCCTGGTTGGTTCACTGATTGCCAGAGATCTCTGTTGCTGATCTTTTCTGGCCATCTGATCTTGAGTATTGAGCGAAGATAACTGTTAATTCATAAGTGAATGTAATAAATTAACTAAGTCAAAAGTCTACATCTTCAGCACGTATGTATGGCTGAATCCAAGTGCAAATACACTCATTTATGTTTTTATTCACACCTATGGAATGGAAAAATACATTTATTGCTACATAATACAGGCTATGACAGTGGATGAGGCAACAATCATATAGAGATATGGCAGCAGTCGTTGATACATCAAACTGCATATTATCATTTCAAATTTAATGTAATAATATTTTTAACAGTTCTTTATGCATAATGGTGAGCTTTTTGACTCAAATGCACTTGAAAAAGAAGATATACAAGTCGCACGGAGAGGTGTTTTTCTATGTTTGCATGACTGAACATTTGTTGGAATGCTTGGAAATGCCAAGGAGTTTCATCATGAAGCAATTAATCGACTGCCGATATGACACCACTAAGGCTCTCTCGTTTATTAGAGAACATTGAAACAAGAAAATGTCTATAATTGTGGAAGCTTGTGACACTCCACTTCGAAAACTAACTCTCTGTATGCAAAAATAGACGGTATCACAGTTCCTATTGCAGTGTGAATATATATTTAATAGTGTTAGCACATCTTTCCCACCTCTTTTCTCCCTGTATATTTATCTTTTTAGAACTTCTAGTCTGCTGGACTTGGCTTGGCTATTGATTTAGCACGTTACTACTATTATTGTCATTATCATCCCTATCACTACTACCAATCGTTATTATTTTACTCCCAGTGCCATGTTTACTCAGTTTCCCACTGTTACCACGTTTGGTAATCAATTTCTTTTTATTCTACTTAAAATGTAATCAATTAATATTTTTATTCATTTCAGTTTTCACTGTTAATCTGCCTTTACTATACTTTAAGTATGATTATTACCGTCATTGTCATAACTCATACTTTAACTATTTTCATTAAGTTCAGAAAGCGCTCTGTATCCATAAACTGTGCACTAATATCAACCTCCATCCTCTGTTGATTAGTTGTTGTTCAGTTTTAAAATTAAGCAATTTATTTAGTTCCTTCTAGATCTTCATTCCATTCAACCTATTTAATCTGTTCACACAAGACAACAAGTCAAGTAAGTCACAATGGAAAACTCAGTGAAGCCTTTGAGGGGAAGACAGGAGTAAGACATGGCTGACTACTGTCACCGATAATATTCCTAATTGTGGCTGCGGAAGACTGCGAAGAGCGAAAACACAGGAATACGTTGAAACGACAAGAAGACTCTAGAAGATTTGGACTTTGCGAACGATTTATGTCTCATGTCACACAAACTTGAAGACTTACAGGCAAAAACTAATAAACCAGCAGAAGAAGCAGCAAGCACAGGACTTCGGGTGAACATAGAGAAGATGGAGATGATGAAGATAACCAACCATGAACAACAACCAGGACCAATCATTATCAACGGGAGAAATCTGAAAGAGGTTACTTCCTTCACTTATCTAGGAAGCATTGTTCCAAGTACAAGCGATGGAACAAATAAGGATATCAAAACCAGAATCGGAAAGGCAAGACACGCCTCCATCAACCTGAAACCAGTTTGGAAATTTTCTTCACTCAGCAAAAGGAACAAAACTCGGATTTTCAGCACCAATTTTAAGTCAGTTCTTCTACAAGGTTCAGAAACTTGGAAAGCCACGAAAAGCATTTCCAATAATCAACTGCAGAGTTTCATCAACAGATGCCTTCACTCCATACTGAAGATCAGGTGGTCAAAAAAATTAGCAGCAAGAACGAACTAGGAACCTGTTGCTCAGCAAGTATGCAGAAGAAACTGGAGATGGATTAGACACACGTTGAGGAGACCGATGGCTCTCGAGTGGAACCCGAATAGGAGACGACGAATTTAAGCGTCCGGGAAGAAATGGAGACGACAGTCAATGGGCAATCGTGGGGCCAGCTAAAGAGGACAGCAGAAAATAGAACAAAGTGGAGATGGGGTGTTGAAGCAACATGTTCCACTGGGAATCCAGGTGAATAATAACAATAATAAATGTTAATTTATTCACCGTCTTTGACCAAGCCTTGTTCCATGCCTCAGTTTGTATTATGTATGTATGCATGTGTATATTCCTTTAATTTATATCAGCGAGTAAAATAATATCTTTAAAAGGAAAAGCTGACGATACCTATTAAAATCGTTGAATTCTTTTAATTCTACTCTAGTAACTTTTGTAGCTCAAAAAATCAAACTTTTAAAACTACTTATGTAACATTGAAGTAGATGGTATGGTTCAGTCATCCATTTAAGAGTCCTAATAGATAAGCTAAAACAAGTTTGAATGCAATAATAGTAACTTTATTTGCTGTTCCCGTATAACCTCTATTACTTATCATAACGTGATGCTTTACCAAGTAGGATGCATTTAAATACCGGTTTTTCGAATATAAAATACTACACGCTAATAATATAAATAACGCAATTATTATTAAAAGTAAAAATATGATTCTATTTCAAATTTTTAATAACATTAGATAACAATAAACAACAGAGGATAAAGACTGAAACCTGAATCTATTTACAAAATAAATGTCCATTATACAAATAAGGTTATGCATCAGTTATTAAGAGGCTGTAATTTCAACTAAATTACAAGAGACATAAATATTGATTAGCTGACTGTCAGCATGTATGCATCATAGATGTATCAGTCTGCATATATAAAGCCTGAAATTTAACATACAGCTTTTATCTGGTCAGAAGTGAAGACTTGATAAATAGCACATTGACGACCTGTTACAAATCATCTTAGACATTTACGATTCGATGATAAGTACAAACTTCAGAAAAACTTTAGGTAAGTAATAATGAGAATAAAAGATAAAATCATTAAACCGGTATGTATTGGTATAGATTTCGTCACTCACAGCTGGTGAACCATTGACACCTACAGTGCGCTGGATACATTTTTCGTTCCAGTTTGACACTCTTCTTCAGTAATCAGCAACGAACCCATTAGGGATGGAACTAAGGACCTTCAGGCAACCTATGACAATCTGCTAACCACTCAACCATCGTGACGGAATCCAACAATCAGTGAATCCTAACTTCTATCAACTCGTGATGTAGTGCTACCATCGAACAATGCGACGTGATGAGCATCCGCTTCACATCCGACATGGCGAAAGTTATGTAAAAGAGAGCTCAAACGCACATGACCCCACGCCTGTCAGCAGAAACAGGTTTGCAGTCATAATCTTTATGGTTTAAACAGAGAAAATGAAATGTTATGCAAAAAAATAGAGGATACTCTCCAGTTAGGTTAACTATCACAAGCCGAAAAGACATGATTTACCTTAACTGTAAACCAATCTAGCACTACTGAGGAAATTTAAACTTCCTCCCAGCCACTGAGAAATTCAAAATATTGATAATATATTTTAAGCAAATAAAAGTGCGTACGACATTAATCTTGTACTTATATTCATGCCGAATTTAAGCACCTTCAAGGTCATTTGCATAAAACCTGGTCTTATATGCATTCATAATGTAAAATATCGTCTACTTCAAAACACACTACTAGGCTTTTAGAGGAAAAAGAACATTTTAATATTTACTAGAGAGCCAGTATATTTTACCTGAGGACTTCAAACGGTATCAAAAATGCAGATAAATGTTTCTACACTTTTTATTAAAAAGTAGATAAACATCCATTAAGGACTAAATGGAACTGAGGAATTTATGAATGGACAGTTAATTTCAAACAACAAATGCTCAAAAACACATCTTTCATGCAAAAAACGGCAATATATATACAGGCACTTTTATTTTGTAAAATCCCATCAACCACAGACTGTCTGAAATCACAGTGTTGATAAAAGAATGTAAGTAGCATGCTTTAAATACTAAAATGATAATACAGAAAATGTTGTATATTCGGGAATCCCAAATTCTAAGTATTGAAAAAGTAAGCCAAAGTCATCATCCCTTTATAGGTACTACAAAATTGGAAGTTCAAGAGATGTAAAGGAAAGGGAGGGAAGACAGGAAAAGCCAGTAATTCGTGATAGCTTATGAGGTCACATGTGCGTTGGCGGTTCTGAGGTAGAATGCTCGCCAACAACGAACGCGGCCCAGGGTTCGATCCCTGGCTGACACACCCCTAAACCTTGCTAAGCCGGTAGTAAGGCCGATAAAGAGGGAAGGTGGGTGTGAGGCTAGAAACCCCACCAGTTAAAAATTAAACAACGGATACCGAAACTTAAAGGTCTATCTTGAAACCCTATGTTCCACTGGGAAAGTAAAGGAATAGGATTTTAAAATATGTGAGGTCACATTATAATCCGAAATACTGCATTCCGCAAGGCTGAAACCATGAAAATGAGAAATCGTGCAGTTAACGCAGTCAGAATTAAAAGCCAGTTATAAAGGAAGTGAGGGATTGATCTCACTGTCTTCTCGATTGGCTTAATTTGTCAGTAGACAGATACACTAACACTACTTGAAATAGACATGAGGTAGCTACTGCTTCTTTGCACAAAATTCAACTTTACCAACAAACTGATGAATTGTGATGAGTTTTTCTCTACAATCTTTCATGACTGATATATTCATAGACTTTGTCACACAGAAACACATAAGCAAATAATACCTGTTGCTTTTCCTCATTTTCCCTACCCCTCCTTCTAAGCTTCTTGAACTTCGTGTCTTGTAATGTATATACGTTAATATTGAATTCAGCTTACTTTCTTAATACTTTGTACATTCAATCCCTTAAGCTAAAACATTTTCTGAATTGTCATCTCAATATTTAAAGCCTACTATTTACATTATTCTACAAGCAATATGATTTCATTGTGCGTCAGTGGCACAGCGATAGGATGCTCCCTGAAAACGCAAGTGGTCGACGCACTCTTTTACTTCACTAAGCCAGTAATAAGACTGGTAAAGAAGGAAGGTTGGGCATGAGGCTAGCAACTCCATCCCGTAAAACTAGATACCATTGCTACCGAAACTTCAAAGCTCTAGCTTAAGGTATTAAGGACATGATTTGAGATAGTCTCTGGTTGATGGAAGTCTGTGAAATAAAATTATATCGTTCAATACTGTCAGTTCATTTCCTCAGTGGAATACTCAGCGATCATCGAAAATTTCAAAAAATCACATCTTCCGTCGATCCGACAGAAAAAGTGGAGAAACAACTAATTGAGTCACTAAAACGACTTAAACAACAAAGTAGCATCATAGATGGTTTATATGAATCTTTAAAGCCTACTGGTACTGTTACACCAAGATTATATGGACTACCAAAAGTACATAAAATCGGTTTGCCGCTTCGACCAATGTTGGATATGTGTAATTCCCCATATCATACAATAGCAAAATGGCTAGTGAATCTCCTACAACCTCTGCATAACGAATTGGTAAAACATAGCGTAAACGGTAGTTTTGAATTTGTTGGAAAAATGATAGATCTTAATGTGAGGAACAAGTTTATGATATCTTTTGATGCATCCTCCTTGTTCACCAATGTACCGTTAATGGAGACAGTGGATTTTATATGTGAGGAGATTACTACACGAAACATAGACATCGGCATTTCTGTATCCACCTTGAAGGAACTTATTTTAAGATGTACAATTAATGTTCATTTCTTATTCAATAAGGAATATCACAGACAAATTGATGGTGTAGCTATGGGCTCCCCATTAGGTCCAATCCTAGCTGATTCTTTCCTCGCTAAGTTAGAGAATAGACCACTGAAAGGGGTAATTAATGGCTTGGATTTCTACTGTCGATATTTGGATGACACATTTGTGGTTATGAAAGACGAGAATGATGCAATGAACATCCTTGACAAGTTTAATGATGCACATTCAGCAATAAACTTTACCATGGAGAAAGAAAGCAATGACAGTACCCCATTCCTAGACGTCTTCATGGCAAGGAATGAAGATGGCACACTAAGAAGGAGTGTGTATGGGAAACCTACAACAACAGGTCAGTACACTCATTTTTTGAGTTTTGTACCTTTGAAATATGAACGTAACTTGGTAAAGTGTCTGGTTCACAGAGCTAAGTCAATCTGTTCAGATGACTGCCTCAATGAGGAGCTTAAGATTATAAGACAATTGCTTAGAAAAAATGGTTATCCAGATAAATTCATTGAGAAAAATATGAATTCAACACCTAGGGGAGTCAGTATGGCTACAGTTCCGAAAAAACCAATGTTCATAAAATTGCAGTTCCTCGCTGACAACATCAGCGAAATAATAACAGCGCTTGAAGAATGCAGTTAAAAGAGCTTATTATGCAGAAGAGGTACGTTGTCTCTTCACAACCACCCCTATTCTACGTTCGAGAAATAAGGGTAAACTACCTAAATTTGCCTCCTCTATGTATCTACCGGTCTGACTGCAGCTACATTGGGCGTACAATTAGGCAGGTTCATCATCGTATTTCCGAACATCATCCAACATGGTTAAGCAAGCGACAAACAAGATCTATTCGTAGCTCTCCTCTCACTTTATCAAAATTCATCAAGTGAACCCCATATTTGAAATTTATTAGTTTTACCATCAAAGTAGAATAAATGTTCTCTTTTAAAATACTTACCAAATACAATGACTATGACAAAAATCCAGGGCAGAAATAATTTGTTTGAAAAATCTTCTAGCTTCTTTTGGTGCTAACCGACCCTTACGAACAAGATAGTCGAATAGTTCCCCGCCAGAAACATGTTCCAGGATAAGATATCTATAGAATTATTTTTTTTTATTACAGCATTAACACACATAACAGCTAGCTTACAAATGTCGTCGATTTTCGTATACATCATATAATCCCAGTACATGAGGATGTTCAATCAATTTCATAATAGCAATTTCTCTTTCAACCTAATGGTACGGGGGAAAAAGAAATGGATAAGAAAAACAGTTTTGCAACTGGGAACTTACCTTTTGAAGTACACTATCGCTTAACTTCTCTCGATTGACTATCTTCACAGCCACCTTTTTACCTGTTACACAATGTACTCCCATTTTAACAAGTCCTGATAAATGGTATTAAAAAAAAAGAAAAAAAGAAAACAATGTAAAATAGAATATCATATGTCGGTTTCAAATGAAATTAAATGCATGTGGAAATGTAATCATCACAATAAAGTCAATATGATATTAAGCAGTGGAGCTAGAGTCATTTTACAGTAAACAGCAGTGTTACACACAAAACCAGTCACAAATAAGAACAATCCATTTACAGATAACGACATATGACAAAATGCATAGTTATAACGAGGTATAATGTGTTGCATTTGAAAGTCGTGAGATGTAACATGATTTAATCCTTGCTGGGCTATTGGAATCTCACTGTTGAAGTGTAACAGAAATTCTGTCTGTCTGTTTTCGACATAGAACTTTGCACATATGTGCGGCAGTTCAAGTCGCCACACTCCCTCCTTGTAGCACACAAAGCAAGAGAAGAAAGTAGGAGAAATGCATATTAGAGACAGTAAACAGAGGTGTGAGACAAAGGAATAGTAATAACGAAGAACAAAACAGTTTAACTGGAAATCACAAGTCACAAGGAGTGGATGCATCTGCGCCAGCCATTGAGAAGGATTTTGAGCCATGTCACCAATTGTTTCCAACCATTGGTTTTTACCATCCCGAGGACCCCAACCAGTCAGGAAGTCTACACCTTCCTACGTGGCTTAGACTAACTGTTGTAGATTTCATTGACTGGTGCGATGTTTTCGTTTGACCGCCACTAGCTAGCTCTTTTCCAGCCTGACCCTATATCAGCTAACATTGCCCGTCAGTCGAGGAAGGCGATGAATAGGCATACGTAACACATGTCCTAACCATCTCAGTCGATGTAATTTCCCCTCCTTACCTAGCACTCGACGCCTAACCTCAATATTGCTCACCTTATCATACCACTTCACACGGGAGATAGAACGCAGACACCTATGATCGAAGACAGCTAATCTTTTTATGTCTTCCACCCTCAATGGCCAGGTCTCACAGCCATAGAGGAGGACGGAGCGGACTGTTGAGCAGTACACACGCCCTTTGGTCGATAGTCGGATATCGCGTCTACGCCAGAGACGGCGTAAACTGGCATATGCGAAACTAGCCCTCTGTATTCGTACTGAGACATTCAGTGATACCTTCAGTCCCAGTGATCCCAACAAACTAATAAAACTGTTAATTATTTATCTAGAATCGTGAGAAGTTTCATGGTACACTGAAGTTATAAAAGTTGGTCAGTTTTGCTTTTGTACAACTCCTCTATTCCATCTAGTTCACTTTTGATAATTACACGTTCGTGTAAGCACACTGAGCTCATATTATAGTGACAATAATAATGATAAATTAAATTCGGATAAATTTACTTCTGTGAGAGCGTCATGAATTAGTGAATGAGTCACTTTAATTATTTCCAATAAATAAATTTCCTAACCTCTTTAATAGAGTTTACTTTTACTTGGAATAAGGAAGGTCGTGTTCTCATTTCTCGTCCCTCGTAGGCGAACATACACACACACACACACATCGATGTGTTGTTGGGATTAATATACGAAAGGAAACTAGTGATAAGAAAAAATACCTTTTGGGTCAAATTTAAAGACCTGAAAATATTGATTTTTTTCCTCTACGCTTTTGTTATTTATGCAACTGATAAATTGAGAATTTATTTCTTTTGCAGAAATAAAACAACCGCCATATTATTCGAACCCCGGTGGGTACGTACTTCCTAAGAGTCCCAAACTAGCACGAAACAGCCGTCCAGTACTTCCAGGTTTTCCAATGGTTCTCTAACTGATGTCAGTTTATGATGAAATCCTCCAATCAATAATATAAATATTAATAAACAATATACACTTTGAAGAGGGAATGTGAAGAAAGGAAGGCGTAAAACCAGTGTAGCTAGAAAGAAAATACATTCAATGATTCATGTGATAAAAAGGCTCTTAAATGTTGATCATTATAAATCTAGTGATGACATGACCTAGTTCACTAAGAGAGAGAGAGAGAGAGAGGTGAAATCAATAACTTTTGCATCTAGTTGTTTAACAAGATTGTAGAATAAGGTGAGAGAGGGAGATTAATCGAGTTGTAAGGATATATGATGGACGTACAACTGTATAATCACAAACAAAATTAACAACTTCGAGGAAGTAAATTACAAAAAATATACAGTGAAACAGGGAAAATAATTCAAGTTTAGTATGTTTTTGTAAAAGAATTCTCTGAAATATATTACCAACTGCTAAGCTAGTGTGTATGTATTAATCGTGTTAGTCTAAAGTGACAGTGAGTTTTCTATGTACATGAACAGCGACAAAAATAAAAAGTGACAATCAAGTTGTCAAAGTCCAGATTTACATATCATCGTAAACATTAAAAAAGAAAACAAAAACTGAAGAGCAATATTTAAACTTATATAAATTGATAAATTACAAAAAAGTATAGTAAGTTACACTTAAGTTGAAGAGAAAAAATAGGGATCCGGCAGTACTACTAAAAGCATTTTAAAGACATACAATACACAGGACGGCAATCATAAATCCTATTTTTGTATCAGACCCTACCCAGGTTCGAAATTGTATAAACTGGTGACATATCCTTATATGTTAAATTTAGCCTTCTTTCAGCTGAACCTTACTTAACATAATGCTGTATGTTGTCACAGGCAGTAGGTAGACATGCGTCCGTGGTTCGGTGATAGAATACTCTCCAACCACGGCTCACATAGTCTGGGGTTCGATCCCCCAGCCGATGCACTCCTAAATATGACTAGGTGGAGTAAAAATAAATAAAGACATGCGTAAAGTATATCCAATCCATTTCAAACAGTGATCAACAATTTCATCTACTGATTCGCCTGTGATATCTAGTGCATTGGAATCATCCTGAATTGATAGAACTTAGAATTCATAGGCTGGTCATTGAGTCAGGTCCCAGTGACTGAATGGTCTACAAGCTTGCTTTGTAACCTGAAGGTCCTAGGTTCGAATCCCAGTAGGTGCATACCACAGATTAGTCCCAAACTAGGACGAAACAGCTGTCCAGTACTACCTGGTTTCCAATAGTTCTCTAACTGATGCCAATCTGTGGTCAAACTTCAAAGAAGCAAATTTAGTTTGCTCACACGGGCAATGAGGAAACAGGCATAAAATGAACCAACAGCAACAACAGACAACAATCGGCATAAATGGGAGGAACGTGAAAGAAACAACCTCTTTTACCTACCCACCTGGGAAGAATCGTTTCAACTACAGGCGGACAGAACTGACGAGGACATCAAGGCAAGAATCGGAAAAGCAAGACAAGCTTTCACTACTCTTAAGTCTGTGTGGAGGTCAAAAGCACTCAGCATCAAAATTAAGATCCGGATTTTCAACTTCAATGTGAACTCAGTGCTAATATACGGATCTGAGACTTGGCGCGTCATAAAAAACATCTCAAACAAACTACAGACCTTTATTAACAGCTGCATTCGCTCAATACTCAAGATCAGATGGCCGGCCAGAAAAGATCAGCAACAGAGATCTCTGGCAATGAGCGAACCAACCAGGAACCGATGGTGTAACAAATAGGCAGGAAAAAATGGAGGTGGATTGGCCATACTCTGAGGAAACCATCAAGTGACATCACTAGACAAGCCATTGCTCGAGTGGAACCCGACTGAAAGGGAAGCGGCGAGTTGGTCGTCAGTGCAAGGGTGATATAGAGGAGGTCATGTGAAGAGGAGATGAAACGTGTGGCAACTGAAGCCAGGTGAAAACTCTAGCGGAGAACCGAACGCAATGGAGATGCACGGCTGAAGCCCTATGTTCCTCTAGGAATTAAAGGAAATAATAATAATCACGTGGTACTTTCGTCACGTACATGTGATGCTATGAAAAACGTTTGGCCAAATGTCTGAAACCTCAAATCACAGTTTTACAGCAATAAGATAGAGAACTCTTATGTGCACTACATATGGACCTTGTTACGCAATCATAAACAGAATAAGCTGTCAGAAGCCAGAAGAATCCACATCGAGACTTCAACAATCACTAACCTATGAGGACTGTCATTCTTTAGATAAAATACTCTTCAAGTTCCATATTCTTCTGTCACAGTTGAGTCAACAGCCTTATCATCACATCTGTAACTTCTAAAAGAATTAAGGATGTTTATCAATTACAATATCGTATGATGCTGCCTTTATGACAAAATCTGTCTACTACTAAATAAAACACATGTCCATTTTATTTTTTTAAACAAATGATTGACTCTCATTCCTACATACATGGGTAGTGGAAAAAAACCAAAAAGAAGTCACCAGACGACAGTGACTAGGATGATAAAAACAGACTTCAGTTTTAATTAAAAAAGAAAATTCAGTCCAGTGAATTACACGTTAATATATAAATTAGACTTAGGCATGGCGACTTCCTGATTAACTATCTGAAAAACAAAATGTTTCTGACTAGTCATACAACGGATGCTATTTGTACCGTTAAACAGAGACTAAAGTTTTACTGCTCGCTTTGTTTATTTCACAGAATACAAAAGAATATGTGAACACCAAAACTCCGGGTCATAACCATAACTATTATTATTATGACTTCGTGAGTACATGTATCCCAACGACAAAGGACTGTTCTACCTGACTCACACTTCATAAAATTTATGAATCATCTTTACTCATATAAACTGCGATTATGATAATTAAATAGTCATGCTGCATGAAATTTTACCTTTTTATGTTACTCCCCTCCCTTCATCTACTTAAAATACTATCAAGAAGACATTTGCTTATTGGTTTCTTTGAAGAAATAATTTTAGGTGAAACGGCTGAACACCCAGAACAGAAATCTTTCAACGTTCGGCATACAATTCGCTTCAGTCAAATGTAAGATGATGCTCCAGGACTGGTCTGCACTGAGTTCCAGTTTAAAGGTAGGGAGTGAAGTGGAAGAGCGTGTTGACCACTTCACTTATTTTGGAAGTTGCATCAACCCTGATGTGCTGATTGATGATGAAATCACATAACGGACACAAAAGGCTCGAGTGGCATTCACTAAATTTAGTTTTCTTTGGTGAAGGCATGATATCCGCCTATCCATCAAAGGATGCTTTTTACTGCCTATCAGTTCGCTCATTCCTTAAAGCTGAGACATGGCCATCAAAGGTGGAAAATATTATGACCATAGCTTTCCTTAACTAGAAGTGTCTGCATTTTATCCCGCAAGTTAGATTGTTTAATAATATTATTATTCCCTTAGGTTCCAAGTGGAATATAAGGCTTCAACACCACATTCCCATTTCATCCTCTTCTCTGCACTCGTCTTTAGCTGACTCCACGATCGCCAATAGGCCATCATCTACTCCTCACGCGATCTAAACATGTCACCCTCAGACACCCAACTAGTCGTTTCCCACTCAGGTTCCAGTCGAGGGACTGTACACTGCGTGTTGTCACTCAATGGTTTCCTCAGTATTTTTCCGGTACATCTTCATTTTTCAGAACAAATTTGTTTGATAACAGGCTCTTGGTTGGTTCGTTGTACTGTCAGGGTTCCTTGTTGCTAATCTTTTCGGACCATCAGATCTTCAGTATGGAACGAAGGTAGCTGTTGACAAAAGTCTGAAGCCTGATCAAAATACTTTTGGTGGCATGCCAAGTCCCTACAACGTATAGAGGTTAGGTGTAATGTTATATAAGGAAAAGAAGTCAATCGATGAGGGACTGAATTTATATCGATTGAAATAGCTAGAATATATGTTACACATGCTAAACGATTGCCTTCCTCAACGAAAAATTTGGCTGGTGTAGGATTGAGCTGGTTGAAAACATGCCACAAATTGATGAAATCTTTGAATGTCGATTCGTGCCACATAGAGGATGTGAACCATCCGGCTGAGGTCCTCAGTATGGTAAGAAGAACACATGAGTTGATTTCATCTTATGTTTGCAAATATCCCAGTAAAATCATTACAAGACAAGTGGAAAATACTGCTTTGAACTTTACGACAAATCATTTAAGGAACAGGAAGAACCAGTTCAGTTGCTCAACTGGTTGTTGTCTGATATTTAACGAGCACTTTGTCACCCAGTTAGTTTGTTGAGTTTCGAAAACCACATAGATATCGACTATAGTATATGGTTCGTTAACGGAAAAAATCAAAAGTCCTCACACATAGGTAGTATTAAAAAGATTATATCGAAAATGTACCGAGACCAGGTACCTTAATTTGTTGGTTGATAATTTTATCCTCAAGGTTGCAGTGTTTTCAAAAGACAAAGTATATATATATATAAACATTATTGCATGTATGAAATCTCTTAGTATTTCACATATCATATCTGACAAAGAAACCTAAACTCTAGATTTCAGATAATTTTGTAACTCAAAGCAGTTAACTAGGCAATTTTGGATAGCGTGAACGTCAAAAACTTCGATAAACGGATGAGTTAATACCCTGTAATCCAAACAACTAAGAACCCGTAAAACTGTTATGGTTTATTGATCTCATCGAAATGTGTAATTATCATCAATGTTGTGCAAGTAATGCTGGGTCAGTTCAATGTTGATATAATACTGATCACTTGAAGAACGGAAAACCGAAGGAACTCAAGACTTTAAAGTAAACTTGGCGTCAGACTACACTGAAACTCTAACTCGGACACTCGATCTTCAGTCATTAGGTCATAGGCTGGGAACATTTTATACCAAATTTTTAACACCTAATTATCACAATCATAGCCCATACAATAAGTGTCTTGTTGTCGAGAGCATGTTATTGTGACTAGTTAAGTAATTTTAGTAAGCTGAAGATCAGAAAATAATGCTTCCAAAGTCATAAACACTTATACAAACCAGGTATCTTGCCATATTTCAAATACAGAAGAATATTCAGTAAATCAATGTAATCAAAAAAGGAAAAATTATCATTCAATGCAAATCTATTCAAATAGATGTCTTAAGAATCACATGATCAGTTTGAGAAAACCTAAATTTGTGTCTGACAATGTCGTCTGATAAACGCGATTTCGATTACAATACTTCGCATTCACCCAAACTTTAGTTTTCTAACACGTAAAGTAGCGTGAATCGATAAAACATACAAAAATGCATATTTCCGTTTTATTTCTGAGGTAAACGTAAGATGATCTCAAATTAATAACCCCTATTTCAAATAGGATTGAATAAGAGGGCCTAAAAGTGATAAACATGTTCCAAAAAACGCATAAAAATGACTAAAATTCACAAAGTAGTGCTTCAATATACTAACCTGTCTGACCCTTTCCCAAAGTTTTCTCAAGTCTATACGGCCCAACATATTGCTCCTCACGCACGTAGTTACGATGGGACATATTTGTCAGTAGATACACTCACAATTAACGTCCTCAGGATGACTGAATTCAACAAAAAAGGCAAAAACATGAGATAGACGAACTTCTCTTTGTGAGATTAGCTTAAGAAGATACGCAAGACAGCTAAACATAAGAAATATAAGCACTTGACAAGGACCCGTAAGGATGGAAATATCGCCCTGAAATGCAGACATACGCTGAAAGCTTCCTCTTCAAGAAACTGCAAAACAGTTCTCTAATCAGAGGGGAAAGAGTAATCTAGTTTACAGTGAGCCACTTTTAAATTGTCGCTATCAGGACTAGGTAGTCAGTGTAACTCTTCTTTGCCAATAGCGTTTTATATACGAAGGCAAATGGCTATAAATATTCTGGACTAGGTCCAATCCTTCTATGACTTTGAATGTACGCTAAATTTTTCGAAATTAAGCACACACTTAAGCAACCATGTAGCTATTCAGTAATTTCCCTACAATGATGAGTATCACCGATCCTTTACACTTAGTTTATTATTATTGAGAAAATTAGATAATGGTTTTCCGAACTTTATCACCTCTCTTTGTTAATATATTGGTGATACGATGAAATACAACATCTAATCAACACAGATAAACGTAAAATAGTTTTGAGGAGTATAATGTCTCGAATAATGGACATTTCGTCAGCAAGACAGTACTCTCTGCACTTGCAAATAACATCTGTTAAATTACGCTTCTTATTATTATCGCAGATATATACATTGTCAAATTCTCACTCATAAATAATCGTAACCACCAACAGGTCAAAACTTTGTATCCCACTTTACTTAAACCCTACTGCAAGACTGTCACATTTGTCGTACGTTTCCATCTTTGGTGTAACTGTTATTATTATACTCCTCGTCACATTTGTCTTTTAACTTGAAACTTACTGGGTGAGTAACTTTTGCAATTTGCATTAGTGCTAAGTGACGCAGAGACAATGATTGCCGAAATTCTATACTGCCAGTACGATACAGAAATACTACAAGTTTACTATCACAAATTGTAAATTTGTTCATAATCTCATATACCCTAATAAATTTGTGTTGAAATTCAGTCCGAAACTATGTCTAGATACCTACTTTTAATTTACAAGCGTGAAGATACCTGCATAAAAATGTGTCTATTACAAAACGGATTGCATTCAGCTGAGTACTAACCTAAATTAAAGCGACTGATATGTTGCATTTAGAATTTATCTCTCGAGCTCCATTAACTTATTGGATAGATATAAAAAGCCTCAAAACTTCCGAAACTCTGCTGTAGCAGAAATAAAACACCAGGTGACCACTCGACCAGCAAAAGATAATTTTTTACTTAGCGAACTTCATAGCTCTTAACGGGCATACTAGAAACTTGACTTTTCGTAATTAACCTAGCCATTTTTAAGCAAACCGAGAGCCTAGAGGGAAATCTGAAAAACTGTAGAATATCAACTATTTCACAGATGTTTTCGTACAACATTTGGGGGAGAGAAGCAAGTATATACATAATTAAAAGTGCTTTGTACTTGGAAAAAGTGATGGTATGGTTAAGAATATGACATTTAGTGGGTCCGGATGCTGAAGTGTTTGCGGACCATGAAAACCGTACTTCCTTTTCTTGATACAGTCAGGCAATTCTCATGACTACGCGTAATTTATAAGCAACACGAATAGTTTCAGAACAAACTGAATACAATAACTAAGAAAGCGACATTAAGATAAAATATTCTGCTTATTGCACATGACAATTAAACACAAGGATATTGAGTTACTTTTCTGGTGTCAAAATACACGTTTTGTGTTCACTTACTCTAAGACTGCATATACACTCGATTTACGTAGGTTTATTCACCCATTCAATCATAATCTCAAGAAAAGCCTCAGAACCAAAACCCCGCGTTTCGAGGTGTATGCATACTTTTCGTAAACCAGCTAAGTAAAACAATGAAAATATGTGAACCCTATCTCAGGTTATTTAAGGCACTATAGAGATCCTTTGTGGATAAACGATGTTAAAAGTTTTTAATAGGCTGAATAAGAAGGTTTAACTTCATTCAATTTCGGTGTGCATTTTGAGTTAGCAAAGTCAAGAATACGTACTGATGTGTAAGTTTTTCCGTATTCTATAATCTTTTTTAACCAAAAGGAAATTACCTACATAATACCAGCACCCCACTAGAAATGGAAAAATAGGAGACTATAAAATCGCTACGAGTTTAAATGCCCTTTTAAACAGCACAAATGATTTGCCCCTAATACTGCCAATGATTCCCAAACTAGGATGAAACAGCAGCTGTCCAGTACTCCCTGGTTTTCAATAGTTCTCTAGTTGATATCAGTTCGTGATCAACTCGTAAAAACATAACAAACTTTTACAAACCGAACTTTAGAAAATAAAATTAATAATTTATTCTCACTAATTATCCATGGTGAATGCCGGTTTAAAAACACTATCGCTGCTATAAATTATAAAATATGTCGTCCGTATAATCGCAGCTATCAGCTGTTAACCAATTTTATAAAACAAAGTTACAAGTGTAATAATAACAACTAAAGCAATGTTGATAAACTCCCTTTACAAAAGTGAGAACATTTTGCAAATTCAATCTTTTTAATTGTTAGCACCACTGAAAACTTTATTAACGGCGAATAGTGTTAACCTGTTGCAAACAGTCAGTATCATGAGACATTTCAGAAAACGTAACATTGTTTCAGTAAATTAACATTCCTGACGAAATAAAAATAACAGTAAGCCAAAGAAGTTTTTAAGTGATCTAAAAACACTGGAAAAAATCACCGAGGCGGTGCTCACGTCTATGCTTTCCATCTCTAATTTAATAAGTCCAGTAAATAATTTGCACTTGTTTAGTCAACAGCCCATTGCTTTTGACATAGAAGAGGACAGAAGTGCAGTTATTGAAGTGACTGAAAGTATGAATGACCCATGCGCCATCATCTGAATGTTCCAGCCTGTAAGAATCATGTGTCAATCGTTACGAGAAACGCTGGGCAAATTAAACATTATGTTAAATGACGTACATCTGTATGGAAAAACGAGACACCGTATCACCCTACCGCTAAATGGCTTGCGGAAATTCTGGAACCAGTGAGATTAAATCTATGTAAACATAGTCTTTCCGACACTTTTGAATTTGTCAGTTGTGTTGGTGAAATTAATGTGTCTGGTAAGCATATGATTTCGCTAGATGTTTGTCCTTTGTTCACAAATGTACCACTAGTAGACACTATCTGCTATCTATGTGAGTATATTGATTCAAATAGCATGAACATTGGGTTACCAACTGAATATCTTAAACAACTATTATTGAGATGCACACTGAATGTGCAATTTAGATTTAATGATGTCATCTACAATCAAAGGGATGGAGTCGCAATGGGGTCTCCTTTAGGACCGCTCTTAGCGGACGTATTCATGGCCAGCTTAGAGAATGGCCCAGTAAAGGAAACCATCGGTAGTTTGTTTATGTATAAAAGATATATAGATGACACTTTCATTGTATGTGACGAAAACTCTTCAACTGCTGAACTTCTTGGAATATTTAATGGTTCTCACCCATCTTTGCTTTTCACTGTCGAAGAAGAGTCGAATTCCTCATTTCACTTCCTTGATGTAAAGCTAGATAGAAGAGAGAATGGTACGTTGCTAAGGTTGATTTATCGAAAGCCAACATTCACTGGGTAGTACACTAACTTCAACAGTTGGGTACCGTTAGGGAGAAAGAGAAATCTTATTCATTCCTTATGCTCTAGAATTCGAAAAATCTGCTCTGCAGAAACAATCGATAGTGAACCAGATAAGCTTCGATCAAATCTCCTTAATAATGGTTATCCTACAAGGTTTATCGAACGTAATATCAAGAAAGAACACGCCCCCAGACAAATTACAGTGCCAAAGAAGAAACTGTTTATGAGTCTGGCATTCAAAGGTGACACCATTTCGGAATTGATTAAAAATCGTTTATCTAAATGTATTAGACGTACTTTTCCTGCAGCTGACTTACAACTAGTTTTTACCAGCCGAAATATGATTAGACAATGCGTCAAGGACAGATTACCGCTTTTGTCCACATCCATGTGTATTTGCTCTTTTACCTGCTCTTGTGGAGCTGTTTATATTGGACGTTGTAAGCGTAATCTCCGAAAACGTGTAGCTGAACACTATCCAGTCTGGTTAATGAAAGGCGAACGTAGAACTGCGAAGTCATCTATCTGTGATCACCTGTTAGAGTCAGGTCATTTAGCCCTACGTGATTCATCTTTCAAAGTTATCTACATGGCAAAATCGAATCGATCCAAAAGTTTACGTTTTCTTCGCTTATGCTTAGCTGAAGCTTTAGCTATACATGAACAGAAACCTAAATTATGTGTTCAAAAACGTTTTGTCAAACCCTTTTCTTTACCTTGGTCATAGTAATGTTCTTTCTAGTTTTTACTTTATTTTATTTTACCACTTGAATTCCTTCCACTTCACTTCACATCTTCATTCTTATCGTAATCGTACTCTTATTTTTTAAAATTTTTAGACAACACTTGACATTTTTAAAACATTTTTCAATTCACTTATAAAACAATCTTTAATAATTTTGTAATTTATCCACTTCAACTCTACCCCTTATAACAATTTAATTATCGTTATTCTTATCACATATATGTATATTGACTGAGCAATTATTTAGTGCCACTTAATGACCTTTTCTGTAATATAAATACGACTGTACAGCTTGAAAATGAAGTCGTTGAAAAGAAATTTCTTCGCTGAGCAAAAACTGTGTTTTTACTTATGAATAAATGGGTATTTTTCGTGATCCATTCTCATTGTTGCGCGCACGGGAGACTACTGTTCACGAACGTCAAAAATATGACACTTAACAGTAAAGCGTCAAACATTCATTCACAATTAGTGCAGGTGAATATTTGAAATGACTTTTTAGTAAGTACTTAATTGGTTACAGAACCTATATTATACAATTTTTCAACCGGAGTGTACATTTTTAAAGAGCATCAAATCGGTGTGACTTTCAAAATATGAACTGCAAATAGTGAGCATTATAGATTGTCCAATATAATAATATATATTTCGTACAAAAGTAAAAGTTTATATAAAATGCATGCCATCTTTATAGGCACGATCAATTATGATACAAATTACAATTGTGAATCAGCATAGATTATCACCTTTTCAAAAGTTAAAATTTTTGAATTATAGTGCAAGCAACCGGAACAGATTCTTATAAATGTTATTTGTAAATCTTTCACGAAGGTCACCATCGAAGTTGCGCGACAACCCAAAATTCGTTCCACTCCCTGATGATAGTTATGACCAACCGATTAACAACATATATTTAAGTGACTGCTATGCCCCCACGTGCTTGAAGGCTATTTCAGGAAGTGAAGAAAATCTGGCGCAGCTGCAAAATGGTATAGAATGCAATTATGAATAATACATAATTGGATGTATATTTTCAAGATAAATACAAGGAGAAGCTATGTAGTACTTGAAATGATAATACACATTTGCAATGTATGATGATAACCATATTGGTCTTACCATGGAAAATTATGAAGTTTTCTGTGAAAATATAGTTATTCTCAAACATGGGTGTTGTTGTTATGCTTTTTTTCATCATCGGAGCAACCGAACTTCATGCGACAGAATAGTGTGAATGAAAAGAGTAAATTTCAGCTTTATTAAAGGCTTAGGGAGTTGAGATAAAATAGAGTATAATAGTGATTAGATAGAAGGATTGTCCTGGAGTATACAAGTGACATTTCAGAGAGAAGTGGCTTGAGGGATTAGAACCTGTTGGATATGGCGACCTGTAGGATGTCTGGTGAACTTGTGTATGGCCCGTGGGGTAGCATCCTGACAAGAAACTGAGCTGGCTTGTAGATGTTAGGAGCAAAAGCAGTATTTTTATAATTTAGATCTGTGCAGTCATTATTTTCTTTTACTTTTTTAATTTTCTTGTTTAAAGTTAATTTCTGTTTTATATTGAGGATCTAAACTCATATTTAATTCTCGAGCTGTCAGAAAAATGCATGTTGCGGCAACAGTTGTTTTGCATTAACGTTGTTGGTGACAGTGATAATAATGACTCTGCGGACCTCGCGGAGTCTTTTAGCTCGCGATTAGCCAGTTTGACAGAATTTGTGTTGTTGCTCAATGACTTTTGACGTTTATTCACCAATAGTTTAACTGGCAAACTGAAATAACCCTCATGAACGCCTTCATCGAATAGGGTTGTGCGGCTATTGTCTGCAAGAACTGGTGTAGAACAGTTGACAGAATGAGTTGGCGGATGGTTAAATCAGCTGTCCAGGTCATTCACTTGCAGTCTTTCCGCATGACGGCCAGAAAGCGAAACAAGCCCTAAGTTTCTACAAGGTAACATCCTGAGTGCAATATATTACGTTTCGGTGTCGTTTTATACTTTGTATGTACTGCACGGTTATCCAATAAGGATTTCTGAGTAAGTTAGGAGGTTTCACTTGGTTCCAGGGCTTTTTTAACATTCCCCTGGACGGGCATTTCATCAAGTACCGATTCAGCCCAACCAATATCCTTTGTTCAGATTACGTTTATTTGCTGAAGGACACATTCGCCTACACTTAGTTTTATTGATCACTATCACATGCATCACATATAACAACCTCCCTTTCTCGCGTTAGAATCCCAGAATCACTGTTTATGTTTCTGATAGTCTCCAGTGGTGTATCTGAAAATTCATCTTGGGGTCTTTGTATCTATGAATTCATTTTCTCCATGAGGCCGGTTTTCTCTCCAATAGTCGGATCCGGATTGAGGGCTAAAAAGGCTTATATGACATCCACCTTATTCTTTGTGTCTATGACTGCCTTAGAGTACACATCTAGGTGTAGTTTTTTAAATGCTCTCACATATCT